ACATAGCACATATACCTTATTGACACAGCAAGACATTATCCCTGTATTCTTGTGTACAATAAAAAATATTCTATGTGCAGAAATAGAATTACCCCATAACAGTACCTAGTCCATAACGCAGGTGGGCATGGAATAGTTATTATTTACTTTATTTATCTTAGTCGAGAATATAATCTTTGTGTTTTCTCTGTGTTTAATTGGAAGCCATTACTGTTGAATCCAGGGCGGCCATCTTATGTAATAGACTTGACTGGTCAAGATCGACTGAGAATAAGGTCGAATCGTCGGCAAACAAAACACTATGATTAGGTTTAAGGTAACAACTTAGGTCGTTTATATATACTATAAACAGTAGTGGACCCAACACCGACCCCTGCGGTACGCCACTGTTTATAGTATTTGCCCGCGATTTTCAACCATTCCCTCCCAGTGCCACTGCCTTTTCCTTATAGTGTTTTAGATCCATCCGTGAAGTTGAACATATCAGGTTGGAATGCTACTTCCGCATCTTCCCTAAAATTAATTGAGGGGTTAGTGAATCCGATCCCCTTTGTAGGATATGCAATGGCTTAATCGCCTCGCCCAGAAGACGGGAGTGGCCTACTTCAGTACCTATCTATCCAACAAGTCCTTAGTTTTAAGACGCAAGGACGTAGAGAGAGATCTAGTGGAGATAGACCCAGAAGGGCTTCCATGAGAAGAAGAAAAATAATGACACTTTATACTTTTACATAAATTTACAAAGAAAACGAATTCGACATCAAACTCGCAGGCCAATAAAAAGAAGCTGCATTAAAAACGTTAATGAATCAGATCAGAGTTCCAGAGAACACGAAAAATCACAATAGATCATCTATAGTCCTTCACCTACAAAAAGTGTCTGAGAACTCTGAGGACTTTTTAATATATTCTTGAAATACTTGAAAATCATTTTTTAGTTCCTGGCGAATTTTTAAACTTGCAACAAATATAGCAAACGAGCTCCTGGGTCACTGAAAATTAAATCAATTCTTCCTGTTTTGTGTAGCTGTAGATGATAACTTGAGAACGGTTTCGAATTTCGATATCGATAAACAAGTTTATTAATCAAATCTGTTCTCGTCTTTTGTTAGCGTATTTTCCTCAAAATGAAAAATCGCTATTGGCTGTACTTCGTCGTCCGTCCGTCCATCCCTCACACGTACTCCTTCTACTCCACTGAATCGATTTGGCCGATATAGGGCTCATTTGAAAGGGCTGGTCCAAGGATTCCCTGCATACCCATATTTTTTGGTTTTGCGCATGCGCAGTGTCAAAAATTTGGTTTAACGCATGTGCGATGCTATAACTTTTTTATTTATTTATGAAGATATTGAAATGAAACTTTATATGTAAACACTACGAATATATTATTTATTTATGAAAGCAGTTAAATGAAATTTCATATCTGGGCACTTTGAATGAAACTAAAATTAATACCGGTTTCAAAATTACTGTTAACGCATGCTGTATGTTTAATTTATGAAGGTATTCAATGAAATTTCTCATGTAGATAATGCGCAATGCTAGTTACGAAAGCATTTATAAAAAGTTCCATACTTCCTTGATTTACACTTAATTCCGTTTACCCCATCGGCGCTGGAATTTATTCAAACCAAAGTCACTAGATATAGAAAGTACCGCAATCATCCGCCATTTTTGGGCAAATTTGCTGCCAACTTAAAAAAAATTGACAAATAAAATCTGAATAGCTGTAATTTTTTATAACCTAACTTCATAGTACTGTCATGTTTTATAAAAATATATACAGATATCTCCAAACAGGTGGGACAGTCCCTAACATTGAAGTTACTAGAATCTGGTAACTTCCGCCATTTTTGGGCAAAAATCATGCGTTCTCTCTCTAACACACGAGCCCAATGGATTGCGGTACTTTCTATATTTAGTGACTTTAGTTCAAACTTCTGCCTTCATTGTGCCATTGACAAAAGTAATGATCGCCAAATAAGTAAATCTGCAGCATAGGCAATCAACATACCTATGAATGTATTGTGCAACGTGCAACGTATCTCCTCCTTGAAGAAACAAACGAAGCCGGACGTGATAAGGATGTTGGTTGTTTATGCTGCATAGTTTACCTATTCGGCGATCATTACTTTTGTCAATGACCGTACCTAGCGATATGTTTATAGACAGAATTTGTGAAGAACGATTACAGAGGGGAATAGTCGGGCACTTTATACCCTTCTACTTTATTCATTTCCATAAGAAAATTCAAAAAGATTTATACGGATGCCTTTATTTTATGGGTGTATATCTACAACTATTTAATCCATCACACTCAGTGGCGCACCCATAGGGGGGGTTTTCAGGGTTAACCCCCCCCCCCGAAATTAAGCACTGATAGATTTTTTAAAATAATCTTTTCCTACAATCGTTTATGAATTAATCATTCAAAGTGATCAATTCGCGCACTATAATTTGCATGTTTAATCCATAGCAACCATGCAACTTGATTGTCACAATAAATTAGCAGGTTCAAATTTTGACAAATCCTGTGACAAAACTAAACGATTCTAATTAAAATAATTAGACGATCGTAGGAAAAACGTTGTTCCTAACATGCGCGCGAAGGCGATTCCGAACCTCAAGCAGGTACCAAAACGAGCGTAGCGAGGGTAACATCCTGCTTTCGGTTCGGAATCACTAACTTCGCGCACTTGTCAGGAAAATAACTATATCTAAATATGTATGGCGTCTGGGAGAGACTTTTGTTAAAGAATTAAAGGAATTTTGCTCGCAACACTATCGCAACTTACTAAGCTAATTTCCACTAAAAGTGAATGACAAATTCAGGAAAATATTTTAGAGAAATTCGCACAGAAACCTAAAAAATTAAAACTTAGTCTTAATATTTTTAGTCATAAATAATTTCTTTTATGTTCTGTTTTGTTTTTTTTTCGGACAAAGTGTAAGTGTAACTGTGTAATCTTTTGTTTATTAAAAATATAATTTATGTTAACATTTTGGATTTACTAATTTCAATAACCCCCACCGAATTTTTTTTCTGGGTGCGCCACTGATCACACTCAGGATATAATTTATAATGAATATAGCAGTAAATGAGGGATGATACCTTTGGAAGTAAAACTCTCCGTTAATGTTAACCACTATGTATGGTACAAGTCGACTATTATTATGGCCGGAGATGGAAACAAAAAAATCCTTTTCGGTCTTCAAAATCATCTCCAAAGAATGATCCCGATGGACTAAAATGGGAACCATAATCATGATACAGAGCAACTTACGAAGATTTGGATCATATTTCTTGAACTGCTGGTTCTGCTGACCTGAAACTTGAAGCAGGATGACCTGGAAAGATAGCAGCACAAGCAGGATAATGTTTGGAAGATTCTGCTTCCAAAGTGTTGCTGAGTTTTTGCCAAAATGTCAAAAATGGACCCAGAACAGCAAAACAATTTACATTGCTCATGCTGAATGCATTCCATTAAGATGACATAAGCTGGGGCTACTTTACTCCATACTCATGCATGTGGAGGTACCAATAATTTTCAACAAGTTAAAAAGTAATCGTAAACGATTTACATAAAGCGCATTTCCACTTGCATTCATTTCCCATTTGTAAGATGCAACTTCTATAAAATCGTTAAAATCCGGCCACAAATATGAAAGATAGCGTTGCACATGGGCAATCCATTGTTGACGTGCTACTTCAATTTCAGTTTATGAGAAGAATTTCATATCAATGCTTTTCTAAATAAGAAAGTTGGAACTGCGCATGCGCAAACCTAAATTTTAAAACTAATGTTAGATTTTTCTTTGTTCCAAGCGCCTAAGTATCAAATTTCACTTAAATAGTTCCATAGATAAAAAAGTTGGCACTGCGCATGCGTAAAATAAAATTTTCAAACTGGCGCTAGATTTTCCTTTATTCCAAGTGCCTATGTATCACATTTCATTTAAATTCTTCCATAAATAAAAAAGTTGGCACTGCGCATGCGCAAAGCCAAATTTTGAAATTGGCGTTTGATTTTCCTTTATTCCAAGTGCCTATGTATCAAATTTCATTCAAATACTTTTATAAGAAAAAAAGTTTGCAATTCGGTTTATAAATGGTCGAGATGCGAAAAGGGCACTGTGAATTTTGAATCGATTCGACTCAACTTTTTGCATTGCGTATTATTATGGCTAAATCTATGCCCATATTGAATTTCATGCAATTCAGTTCATAACTAACGGAAATGTAAAAGCGATCGAACATTTCTAAACAAAGTTATCGTTCACACGGACAGATAGATGGACAGACAGACAAAGGAACAGACGGAGAGACCAACCGGCAGGCGATAGATAGCAATGCAAAATTATAAACGATCTCTAGGATCGTTAATAAACGGCAAAAGTGTAAAATTATGGAACATGTAAAAAACGGTTTTTTGTTTTTTTTACAATAACTTTTTTGTAAGCGGTACAGAAAAAATTCCTTCCTTGGTACAAGACTCGACACCATAACGAACCAAATAGCGAAAAAAGTAGAACAATAGTTCTTAAGATAAAGAACTAGTAGCGTCGCAAAACGAGCGGACGGACGGACGGACGGACGGACAGCCGGACGGACGGACGGACGGACAAAGTGGCCACAATAGCGCATTTTTTTTTATTTTTGTGGAAATGCGCTAAAAAGCGTGCCTTACCACCCTTAGAAGTGAGAAAAAAAAAGAAAGGGAACAAGAAATGTACGCGTAATGAAGTGGCCGTCGGAACGTGTCGTGTTTTTCTATACCTGTTTTAAAAATTCATATGAAACGCTGGGGGAACATAAAACTAGATGTTCAGTAACGATAGTAGCTAATGCGATTTTTATAGCGGTACAAGTCACCATAACCTGCCGAAAATTCCCAAAATCTCAATTTTCCGACGGGCGCGCGCACCTTCTGTGACTTATGGAAGCGATATTACTAGGACGGTAATTAAGCACACGGCAGCTGGTGGTTCAATTAAATTTATTCAATTCATAAATGACAATTGTTTACATAATTTACTAGCGGAATTAATGGCGGCCGTGTAGCGTACGCACATCAGTAGGTTAATAACCACATTACGAGCTTATTTGAAAAGAAATGTAGTGCATTTGTTTTGAGCGAGGCACTCCCACTGGGATTTTTTTCGAAAATAATTCACTTGTTATGTAACGTTTTGAAAAAAACACCGTTTAGTTGAGTGTGTTATTAGATTACCGTTCTTTGGATGTTGACATTCCGTTCGTCCATTGTTCAAAATCAGCAGAAATCGTGTTGGTTTTTCGTGATCGTACAGTTAGGATCGTGTTTTTGGAGTCGATTATTAGAGGGGTTGGTAATTGGTCGGTAATCGGCTTCGATGGGAAAAGGAGACATCCCAGTTTCTTATTGACATTATATCAGTAAAACGAGCGTGACGTTAAATAATAGCGCATCAGTTACGGGTTAAGGAATTATTAATAGCGAGGCTGCTCGGAACGGAATACTAAAAGCGCGCGCGATCCATCCTGTATATAAAACCATGACCACTTCCCACAACTTACGGGGCTCCAACGAAGCAAAGGTAAAAAGTCCCCAGTCTTACCTCATTAGCAGTAGTTGGCTGTGATCGTTCGAGCATCGACCACGGTTTCGACCTTGGGCTGGTCACACTTCTGACCAGCAATGGGCAAGGTCCGCCCGGCCGGTGAAAATGTGGCCTTGACTTTATGGAGTTCAAGCGCTTGCTGCCTCGTAAATGAACGCACTTTCTATCTGATTGCTTCTCGATCGTTTACGCCGGTTCCTTCCTAATTTTGTGCCGTGTTTTCCGTACCTAGAGCGCGAATCGCGGTCTCGTTGGATAATGTTGCAATGTTATTTCTTACACCGAATGTCTTAAAGGTAACTGTTGTTTTATGCGACTCGCGCTCTTATCGAGTTGGTAATTTCGAATTTTTTGCTTGCAGAAATGTAGAAGTCGACCAGAAATGGCAGCTACCGACGGACAGATTACTGTAGCGGCAGCTCGATGGGCCGAAGAGGGTAGTTACCTTCACGAGTTCGTTTCGAAGCAGCGTTTACCCGCAGCCGTCAAGATAATCAAGGGCCAGTATGGGAGCCTAGGAGTGCCGACATTACCGAGTCCTGGTTTGCAATCGACTGCTTTACTAGTCTCAGCTGGAAAGCGCCAAAAAATAGTTGCACAAGCGGTTAAATTTAAAGAAGGGCGACGGATTGTGTGTGTGGGGCCCCGTTTGGCCATTCCCGATACGTATCCCGGTTATTTCGAGATACTGAGCGAAGAAGGTAGGTCAGTGCGGTGTATCGAGAGTGTTTCCGAACTGTCGAGAAGGCGCCCGGAAGAGGGCTGCCTCGTGCGGGAGACGATACGCGGCGTTCAAGCCAGAATTGACGTCGAAGGTGCAGTGACGCCCGAAGGAGCGCGTACCATAGCGATAGGGGAGGTTTTAGTTCCTTCGGGAGACATAGTTATACCCGGTTCGAAAAGTCGTTACCTCAAGTGTACGGATTCTAAAGGTGATACTATTTTGTTAGGTCTAGAACAAAGGGGGAAGTTTTCCGCGCTGGCGCGTGAAGACAATATTAGTGGCGTGCACACCGCAAAAACTTTATTAAGCAAACGTTTACCCTTGACTGTTAGGTTAGTACACGGAACTGCGCCGCGAGGCCTTAAAAGTTCGAGTCATTTTGTGCCAGAATTAAGATTACTATCGATATTCGAAGAAGAACACGTTTTCGCGTTACCTCTCCAAAAGGAAGCAAACAGCGTAACGGCTCTACCCTTAGCGGCACCCTTAAAGTTGCTTCGTACACGAAACGACGACCAACTTCGAGCGTTGCCCGAATTCGTCAGACTCGTAGAGAAATGTACAAAATTAGTAAGCGACGTAGCCGATCGAATACAAGTCCTCGACGGAAAATTGGGCGACCCCAAGAAGCAATCGCAGACCCCGCCGGCGGCGATTACAAAAAACGGTTACGCCCTGCGTCGAAGCGCATCTTCAGATTCGGCGAATCACCGCACCAAGCATTCGCATCACCGCAAAGACGAAAACAGGGTACCTCTCCCAGACTACGACGAAATCGACCAAATTTACGACTACGTCCGCGGATTCGCCCCCTTACCTAAAAACATTCGCTCCCCATTCTCGGAATCCTCCCCTCTCACCTCCCACAGCTCCACATTAACGCAGACACCCTCCGAACCCACGAAACCCGAGCCGCCCCCGATCGAAACCATTCCCACCAAAAAACTCCAGGCGGAGAAACGCAACCGCAAGTCCGCCTCGTCAACGTTACGCGAAAATCCGCCGAAACCCCCGGTGTACATCGACAAAGTTCCGCCGGGCCTCCCGAAGTTGTACGTCAAAAACGGCCAATCCCAAAGAAGCCGGCTACTCCGACAGAAGAGCTCCTCGCCGATGAAGGAAACGCCGCCGAGTCCCGTGTCGAAATCCGGCTCGCCGCTTTTCAACATACGCTACAAGTCCCTCAGCAATCTCCAGCAGGCGATGGAATTGGACGGCACCCTCGACTCGAGCCATTCCGGCGGTCGAGCGTCCGGAGATTCGGGCGCGGGCACCAAGCAGCCGGAGAAGAGATCGCGCAAGCTTTCCCGCCCGAGAAGCCTGACGAATATCGTTTGGGAAATACGGGAGCATCCGGACATTTCGATGCTGGACAAGCCGAAAAAGATCGAATCGGCCGGTATTGTCTACAAGAAACATCCCAAATACTCGCTTAGTGGGCACAATCCACGTCGAGGCACGCTGTACTTATAAAATCTCTCTTTTATATCAAGTGCAACGCTTAAGCTATTGTGATTTTTTTGTGTACGGTTAAGATAGCAAAACTATCGTTAGGACTTGTGATTTATAGGTTTAAGTATGTACATTTTTTATTTTTTACTAAGTGATATTTTCGATGTTCTGAATTTTTGATCTCTCGCGCATTTTGTGCCATTTTTGGAACAACTTGTTCTTCGTCTTCTTTACGTTACGCTAAGAATTGTTTCGAAGAATTAACCGCGGGGTCGTTGCCAAATGCGTTGAAAGGAAGTTGTGGGGTCTTTGACTGCAGTTCCCTGCGACGACGAGCTGCATACATTATCGGGTCTGTCTTGAATTCTAATTATTACGTTTCTACAGTCGACATTATTATTAGTGCCCATTTATAGTCTCCATTTGTAATTGTGCCTTTATAGTAAAAACAGCCTAAAATAGAAATGCACGCTAGCATTTTTACGTGAGTACAAGTTAGGGGCCAAGGGGGGTTATTCACATTTACACGTTAATATTTGATCTACAGTTTTGACGAACCGACTAAGCGGTACTTTTTTGTTGCGAGTAGGTACGTTTGAAGGTTAGCGCAAATGTTACACCCTAACAGAATTCACACAAAAACGCGAAAAGAATGAGTCATCCCAAATGAAAAGGCGAAGATTTTAAAATACCAATGATCGGCTCTGCAGATGACGACTCCCTCTGAGGCGGAGGTGTATTTTACAGAGCAAGATGTTTCAGAAATGGACCGCCTTATTTGTTAAGAGCAAAATCTATGTTACCCCTTAGCGTGTAGAACTATCAATTGTATCACTTAAACATACGCCATATAATAAAAAATAAAAAATATTTGCTTTTCATCTGTGATGAAATTTGAATTGTAAGTATTTTTAAGTGTACCTATTGAGAACAATGTCTTGAAATTTACTTTTTTGTTGTTCTAATGTGTTAAATTTTGTTATTGTGATTGCCTATTTTTTTAGTGTAATTGAACGTTCTCTTTTGCAAGTTGTTTATGACCATTGTAGTTATTTGTTTTTTTAAAAATACGTTTTTGGTTTTGCGTTGTCATGTTCCGCATTGTAACATATTTATTCAATAAATGTATTGTACTTTGAACATTATCTAGTTACAGTTCACTGGCCAAGCCGATAAAGCTCCCCAATTTTCCCTTCTGAAGGTTGGAACATTGTTAGCATGAAGTTAATGAATAAAATCGTATTCCGTTTCATTTTAGCCCTTGTGAAATTCTGGGGGTTTTTAGACGGGAACTGCTGAGAACAGACCTGGTACAAATCTTCGGGACGGGCGTCTGAGGGTTAGCAATGATTGCAGTCCATGCCCTTGGTACGATGTACTAGCCGTACATTTCTACACAATTATGGGTTATTAGGTAGGTACAGGAAATCTGGCAAATGCAGAGGTGGCACTTCTGGTGCCAACTGCAAAGGAAAGTTGTGAATTTAAGTCTCGCAAGCTCTAGGTGTGTCTGAGCATTGAATAAAGACCTTAATTTTTCACTCAACGGTGTAAGGGAAAACTGGAGGTGTAACCAAGTGTGCCAGGTGGCGACATCTTATGGCATCTAAAAAAAATAGTTACCTCCTTCTCCGAGTCCACTATCCTAGTGACGCAAACCTTCACCCTTTAATATCCTGCGCTAATCTTTTCATTTCTACATAACTGCCCTTAATTATTTGGGCTATGTACCCTAAGCCTCTGTCGTCCTACACGTCTCTTGCTCTGTGAGTTACTTTCTATAGCTAGCTGTAATAATCCTCCGTGTCTGAACACGTGCCCTATTGTACACAAAAAAGTGTTAAGCGGTAAGATCAAACAAAGGGGAAAATTGAATGAGTATCCAATAAGAGCCGCCCATAAAGTTCATATTCCTCCTCACAGACTAATTTACACAGCCGATAGCTGCTATGTAATGCCTTTAAAAATTTACAATCATCTCCCCTATCATATTACTAATGCTTCATCTACTAGACATTTAAAGACTGTGCTTAAGAACTATTATTGATCAAATGTTATTACTCCCTCAATGAATATTTCAGTTCTGTGATATAAGTTTGTGATCTGTGTACAAGTAATGTTATATAGCAATTTCTGTATTGTATGTTTTATACTAGATGTTAGACGCATTCCATACTGTAACAAGTGGACGGAATAAAGAGTATTATTATTATTCCACCACGTCTTCTCTGTACGGTTTTCCACATTGCCCTATCCATCCAGCTAATCCTCATTATCCTTCTATAGCACCACATTTCGAATGTTTCTATGCTATCCTACTTTTGTCTTCCCTGTCAATCGTCCAGGTTTTGCATCCGTATAGAGCATTTGCTCAAATGCTTTTTTAGCACGCTCTATTTTAGATTTTATATCTTCCCAACTAAGATTATCTTGTGTTTCCTTATAGAATGTGGCCTGTAGATTGTAGAATCCATAATATCAAACAGTTCGAAGATTGGGCTACTAGATCAAAAGTTACAGCCCTTTGAAATTTCTTTCGAAATTGGTTTCTAGTCTATAACTTTTGATTGAGAAGTCTAATCGAAAAAGTACGAATTGTTTTGGATTCTACGCACCAAAATTTCATTGAGATGTCGCCACGTACGTAACTACATTAACAAGAACATTTTAATTTATGCATTTAATGGCCACGTCCGACTCAATTTTCCTTAAAGGGCAGTTGAAAATGTGCAATTTCATGTAGGATTTGTAGAGCAATTGTATTTCAATGATCCAGTATCTGGAATTGTCTTTTGTGTATGCAATTGTAACGTTAGCGCCATCTGTTTGGTAATCCCTATACTTTTCCTAATTATTTTCGTGTAATAGTTAAACCAGTTCCCTTGAGATGTCGCCACGTACGTAACTACATTAACAAGAACATTTTAATTTATGCACTTAATGGCCACGTCCGACTCAATTTTCCTTAAAGGACAGTTGAAAATGTGCAATTTCATGTAGGATTTGTAGAGCAATTGTACTTTAATGATCCAGTATCTGGAATTGTCTTTTGTGTATGCAATTGGTACATTTGCGCCATCTCTTTGGTAATCCCTATACTTTTACTAATTATTTTCTTGTAATAGTTGAACTAGTTCCAATGAGATGTCGCCACGTACGTAAACACCTTCACAAGAAAATCTTAATTTAAGCACTTAATGGCCACGTCCGACTCAATTTTCCTCAAAGGGCAGTTGAAAATGTGCAATTTCATGTAGGATGTGTAGAGCAATTGTACTTCAATGATCCAGTATCTGGAATTGTCTTTTGTGTATGCAATTGATACATTTGCACCATCTCTTTGGTAATCCCTATACTTTTACTAATTATTCTCTTGTAATAGTTGACTCAGTTCCAATGAGATGTCGCCACGTACGTAAATACCTTCCCAAGAAAATTTTAATTTAATCACTTAATGGCCACGTCCGACTCAATTTTCCTTAAAGGGCAGTTGAAAATGTGCAATTTCATGTATTTCAACCAGTTCTAAGATTGGGCTACTAGTTCAAAAGTTACAGCCCTTTGAAACTTCTTACGAAATTGGTTTCCAGTCTATAACCTTTGATTGAGACGTCTAATCGAAAAAGTACGAATCGTTTTGGATTCTACGCACCAAAATTAATACGAAAAAGTGTTTTCCCGAGAAATTTTGGTGTAGTCGATTTTTGATAAAAAAAGGAAGGTTGTACACTGCCTTTTTTTTGCCCCGAAAAAAAAATTGTCTCAGATCGGCCGGAAAAAAAATTTCCTTATAGAATGTGGTCTGTAGAATCCATAATTTCAAACAGTTCCAAGATTGGGCTACTAGATCAAAAGTCACAGCCCTTTGAAATTTCTTACGAAATTGGTTTCTAGTCTATAACTTTTGAATGAGGAGTCCAATCCAAAAAGTACGAATTGTTTTGGATTCTACGCACCAAAATTTCATTGAGATGTCGCCACGTACGTAACTACATTAACAAGAACATTTTAATTTGGCCACGTCCGACTCAATTTTCCTTAAAGGGCAGTTGAAAATGTGCAATTTCATGTAGGATTTGTAGAGCAATTGTACTTCAATGATCCAGTATCTGGAATTGTCTTTTGTGTATGCAATTGATACATTTGCGCCATCTCTTTGGTAATCCCTATACTTTTCCTAATTATTTTCTAGTAATAGTTGAACAAGTTCCAATGAGATGTCGCCACATACGTAAATACCTTCACAAGAAAATTTTAATTTAAGCACTTAATGGCCACGTCCGACTCAATTTTTCTTAAAGGGCAGTTGAAAATGTGCAAATTTATGTAGGATTGGTAAAGCAATTGTACTTCAATGATCCAGTATCTGGAATTGTCTTTTGTGTATGCAATTGGTACTTTTGCGCCATCTCTTTGGTAATCCTTATACTTTTCCTAATTATTTTCTTGAAATAGTTGACCCAGTTCCAATGAGATGTCGCCACGTACGTAAATAGCTAAATACCTTCACAAGAAAATTTTAATTCAATCACTTTTGGCCACGTCCGACTCAATTTTCCTTAAAAAGGGCAGTTGAAAATGTGCAATTTCATGTATTTCAAACAGTTCCAAGATTGGGCTACTAGTTCAAAAGTTACAGCCCTTTGAAATTCTTACGAAATTGGTTTCCAGTCTATAACCTTTGATTGAGACGTCTAATCGAAAAAGTACGAATCGTTTTGGATTCTACGCACCAAAATTAATACGAAAAAGTGTTTTCCCGAGAAATTTTGGTGTAGTCGATTTTTGATAAAAAAGGAAGGTTTGTACACTGCCTTTTTTTTGCCCCGAAAAAAAAATTCTCAGATCGCCCGGAAAAAAATTTTTCCTTATAGAATGTGGCCTGTAGAATCCATAATTTCAAACAGTTCCAAGATTGGGCTACTAGATCAAAAGTTACAGCCCTTTGAAATTTCTTACGAAATTGGTTTCTAGTCTATAACTTTTGAATGAGGAGTCCAATCCAAAAAGTACGAATTGTTTTGGATTCTACGCACCAAAATTTCATTGAGATGTCGCCACGTACGTAACTACATTAACAAGAACATTTTAATTTGGCCACGTCCGACTCAATTTTCTTTAAAGGGCAGTTGAAAATGTGCAATTTCATGTAGGATTTGTAGAGCAATTGTACTTCAATGATCCAGTATCTGGAATTGTCTTTTGTGTATGCAATTGATACATTTGCGCCATCCCTTTGGTAATTCCTATACTTTTCCTAATTATTTTCTAGTAATAGTTGAACAAGCTCCCATGAGATGTCGCCACATACGTAAATACCTTCACAAGAAAATTTTAATTTAAGCACTTAATGGCCACGTCCGACTCAATTTTCCTTAACGAGCAGTTGAAAATGTGCAATTTCGTGTAGGATTTGTAGAGCAATTGTACTTCAATGATCCAGTATCTGGAATTGTCTTTTGTGTATGCAATTGATACATTTGCGCCATCTCTTTGGTAATCCCTATACTTTTCCTAATTATTTTCTAGTAATAGTTGAACAAGTTCCAATGAGATGTCGCCACATACGTAAATACCTTCACAAGAAAATTTTAATTTAAGCACTTAATGGCCACGTCCGACTCAATTTTTCTTAAAGGGCAGTTGAAAATGTGCAAATTTATGTAGGATTGGTAAAGCAATTGTACTTCAATGATCCAGTATCTGGAATTGTCTTTTGTGTATGCAATTGGTACTTTTGCGCCATCTCTTTGGTAATCCTTATACTTTTCCTAATTATTTTCTTGAAATAGTTGACCCAGTTCCAATGAGATGTCGCCACGTACGTAAATAGCTAAATACCTTCACAAGAAAATTTTAATTCAATCACTTTTGGCCACGTCCGACTCAATTTTCCTTAAAAAGGGCAGTTGAAAATGTGCAATTTCATGTATTTCAAACAGTTCCAAGATTGGGCTACTAGATCAAAAGTTACAGCCCTTTGAAATTCACACGAAATTGGTTTCCAGTCTATAACCTTTGATTGAGACGTCTAATCGAAAAAGTACGAATCGTTTTAGATTCTACGCACCAAAATTAATACGAAAAAGTGTTTTCCCGAGAAATTTTGGTGTAGTCGATTTTTGATAAAAAAGGAAGGTTTGTACACTGCCTTTTTTTTGCCCCGAAAAAAAAATTCTCAGATCGCCCGGAAAAAAATTTTTCCTTATAGAATGTGGCCTGTAGAATCCATAATTTCAAACAGTTCCAAGATTGGGCTACTAGATCAAAAGTTACAGCCCTTTGAAATTTCTTACGAAATTGGTTTCTAGTCTATAACTTTCGAATATCCAGAAATCTTGATGATGGGTGGTAAATTGTATTTACTGTTATAAATTAATCCACTTTGACTTGTGCATTTATTGTTATTTAGAAATAATTATATTTACTCGATTGATGTATTGTTCCATCGTTCCTTTTAAACGTGTTGGTGATTAGGATTACGTTACAACACATAAGAAAGTCTTTTCCCAATCTATTTGGGAGTAGTCGTTTTTCGGTGAAAATGCAATTGCCTATTCATTCATTCGAAAAAACGAAGTCTCATATTGACAACAAAAAATTTATTTTTAAATTGGGCCGCTAGATCAAATGTACCAATTTCATACACACATACTGGATCATTGAAGTACAATTGCTCTACAAATCCACCATGAAATTGCACATCCTTGGTGAAAATTAGAACCACCTCTTTCGCAGGTATTAAATGCATTTCCAGTGCAGGTTTGTCTAAGTGACGCTGTCAAGGGTGGAATATTAAAATCCTCTATCATTGATGCATGTAATGATACTATGACATTCAATTCAAACAAATTACACACAATTATAATAAACAAATAAATATTATTTCACAAAACTATTAATAATAATATAATTCAGAAACTCCTTCAGTTCAGAAATTTTACTTCCGAGTTTGATTCACATATGCTTCAATTTGATTAATTGCCAAAAGAACTTTTTTAGGTTCGACCAGAAACCGCATCCACAATTGTCTCCTGATTTTAAACCATTTCTTTTCATCCAACATTTTCTGAAACGAAACAGTGAGCAACAAACGTTACACAGCCGCTACCTTAACATACAGCAGCAGAATTAACTCCTTGTATAGCTGATTTTACAACTCCTCTTTGAAGATTGATCAGCTTATCAATTTCAAGAAAAGCATCCCATAGGTGATTTGGAATTACCATAATTTGAGAAGTGGGACCGGTAGCAAGAAATCTGCGTAACGTATCAACCTCCTTCTCACTAAAAAATATACATTAGAAGAAGTATTATCAGCAAAATACGTTACAATATTTTCGTAAATTGGCGATGTTGTACAGAATCATTTACAAACACTTGATGCTCTGTGTGATGATATTCCTTATCAAATTCTTTGAATGCCTGTAGAGCTGAAATCGACTCACCGTCATCACTAAGTAGTTGTTTTTTAAAGTTAACTAAAGGAAGTTTTTTCTCTAAGGGGAGTTCTTTGTGAAGATGATACATTGCGATTGTTTCTGCCATGGCATCCTGCACTAATTCGTAAAATAACAACTGACCATTCGAACCTACTTACAGTGCGTAACTGTGAGCTGTACACATTGCGCATGATATACTGATGCACATTACGAAAAAATGAATCCGTCGATTCGATATCGACTTTCTCTTTGGTCATCATTGCATAATGTAACAAATATCTTGCGAGAATTGCGGTTGTATGGGAATCCACCTTCTTCAGCAAATTAAGTTTCTCTCTACAACAAGCGTAATTTATCCAGCACGTGAAAATACTCAGATGTTACCTTTTGAACTCGAGCGATTGTTTCAAGACCTCAACTTTAGGTTTATCAACAATTGCATCGGCCAATTTCTGTACAATACCCTCCATGCTCGAACAAAGATCATTTAGCATTATCTCTTGTGCAACTATTTCCGATTTATTACATATCTGAAAGCTTATAAGAATCTTCATAGTTTTTTCAAGGCATTAATCGTATTACCTGTCCTCGAGACTTTTATTGGAAGAAAAGTGGTTGGCCTTCGTATTTTGTAAAAATTCGAGTTCTCCTTCTAGCCTTTCTTTGTCGGTCTCTGCCATTGCGTACTTTAAATAACTTCCCGCAATTCTACACACACCACTGTAAAACGTACTCTAATTGTAAACAACTGACCTCTGTCGTAATAAGGCCAACTGGTCCAGACTTCCCTCGCACATCCCGTCATATTGGAGTAAATCACGGTGCTTAAGAAATAAACTTAAACGAGACATCATGTGTTGATAATTTTGACTAAGTTTCGATTTCGAGCTGGAATTATTCGAGACAAATATTCCATTATCCTGAAGCAGAGATGGTCACGAAACGTAAGCAAAGCGACTACTAACATAATCAAAGTTGTTTAAGTGGTCGGAGTAACGTGAAATTTGCTGCTGGACCTTCTCACGCATTTCATCCAATGACAGACTTAACTCGACACACTCCTTCTCCGCATTATTTTTTTGTAGGTTGTACACCAGCTCCTCCTCTTGCAGCACGTTTAACGTCTTTGACAACTTATGCTTTATGTCCCTAATAAAATATACAGATAAATACGGCACAAAATCCACCTACTTAGTAAAATTACCGGTGTGAAATAACGACATGTTCCAAGTGATCTCGTTCGTTAGTAAGCAATTTTAACTCTTCCTCCAAGCAGTCAACCTCGAAAGCATTTTCCTCGTATTCTAGTATACCCGGACATTTTTGGGTTAGTTTAGAAAGTTCACATTCATATTCCCGATCTGAAATTACTCTTCCACTTTGCTCCAACTGCTCATATCTAAATCAACGTTATTGCGATATACACAAATACAATACTTACTCATCCATTTCCATTGGGGTTAAAACGTTGTCCTTGGACAGAGAACTACACAGCCACTCGAACATTTCCTTGGTAGCTTCGCAGTCGGTATCGAACCAGGCATTTATCGTTAGTTTTCCAACGTTTCCCGTGATGATCCCCAAATCCTTGAAGGTTTTCATTAGATCACTTCCCGATAGTGATGTGTGTGAGGTACTTTCAACATCAATTTGTTGATATCTTCGAGGCATGATTGGAGGCGTACTTAGACTTCTTGACGATTATTAATTATGAGCATAAAGCACAACAAAAATGGCGGAGACCGTTGGAAAATTTAAAATTTGAATAGATGTAGATGTGTCTATTGTAACGTTACCGTTCTTAGTCTGTAAGTATCTAGTGTACTCATTGTAGATTTATATACAACGTGATCAAAAATCTCTGACCAATGTCTACCACTGTTGACATTCATGAACGCGGCCGTGTTTATTATGACATATACATAACCTCGCTTGTCTATTTATTTACTTCTATTTTATTCCCGAATTACTAAATTATTTCTCTTTATTATTTTCGTCTTTTACAAAACAAGGGTTTGTCAAAATTTTACTGCCAACAATTTCAAGGTAGGTCTCCCTAGAATTTCATTTCTATTTTCTTGTCGTTTTAGAGTCTAGTATTCGCCTTTCAAAGACGAGTAGTTGCTACTGGAACAAACTGGCTTATCTTAAGGAACATGTCATACAATCGTGAAGAGAAAACATAATAAATAATAATTCCTGTTATAAATTAATCTATTTTAAGACTGTTATAAATTTACGATAATTAGTTGTATTAAATAAAACACGTAATTAAATTTACGTTACAATACGCGTATATTAAAATTAAGAGAATAATGGCAAAGAAAAAAGAACAAAAATATTATGGAACAATAACTATCCTCCCCATAGTCTTTGGTGATAGTAGTATGCACAAAAATATTCACAATCTTTATGGAGGCTTGGTCTCATTGATCAATTTGTGCTAGTATTGCAATAGTCTTGTATGCATTGCGTACAGTGTGTGATATTTTTTCTTTTGATATATTCCTTTAGGACCGAACAAGTAGAGTGAGCACAATACCTCATCGCTTCTTGTTCTGTCTTATTGTTCATCCGATAAGCTAAAAAGAGGTAAATACATGATATTTGGGTATTAGATAAAATATTACTTACTTGCAATATAAAATGTACAATATCCCTGTGATGAACAATTGTGCTCTTTGGTATCATTAATAAAGCGACGACAGTTCTCGAGGGCTTGAGGGGAGTCTTTGGAGTTACCATAGCAATGATGTCAGTCGGTTACGGGAAAGCCTACAATTAAATGGAAATCAAATTTAAAATGATATACATATTATCATAGTATAATACAATGTGTATATTAAGATATTATATTTCCAATAGCAACAAATACTTTCGCGAAAAAAGAATTAAGGCTGAAACCCCGCCCACTCAAAAATAAAGGCACAATAAATTAAAAAATAAAGTTAGTCAACAAATCACTTTTTTTTTTGTGTAGCGACCCATTCAAAATAATTGCCAAAAGATGATCCCAGAACGTTATAAGTTTTTCTCAACTGCGCGTTCTCTCGTTTCCCTAACAAAATTGGCAAATTGGTAATCACGGTTAGCATTAAACAAAAGTACACTAGGTACTAATACATTCTGTCCATATCAGGAGGGAGATTTACAAATGGAAACATTTAGAAAGTTATCGATGGCTCAGATGCCCAGATTTTGACAAAATGTAGATTAATTTAACAATTGACCACATATGAAAGGTATCATAATTAATATTAATTTCAAGGTGGAATATCCCTATACAGTGTTATTCATTTAGAAGTAGACATAGGGATTTCCTATGTCTACTTTTAAATGACAAAACTCTTCTGAAAGACGCTTAATTTTATGCTACCAAAGTAACACATGCGCACGCATTTTGCACTGTCATTCTAGATTTTAATAAAAACCACAGTAAATAGTATGCTTTTAGCGAGGCTTTTAGGTTATGATGAAAAGATATTAAATTCGGTCGCTATTTCCCTATTTCCACAAAAATTAAAACATTCAGTTTCATATCCACCGTTAAAATGTAGGGTTGTTTACGGTGTCTTATGTGGATCGCATTTAAACAGCCACTAATTTTAAAGTAATCAACACGGAAAATAAGTCTCTTACTCTCCGTGAACTGTTACCCGCACTATACCAATTGACAATATCAAGATTTTCTTCAGTTGAGTATATCGCACACCAACGAAAATAAAAATACGGAAGTCAAAGCAGTAATATTCCAATTAATTAATTGGTTGCATCAAATTAGGCGCCCTTTTAAAACTAGACATAGGGAAAACAATGCACAAATCCCTATGTCTACTTCTAAATGAATACCACTGTAGCTTATTATAACCATTCATTTTAAATAGATGAGTTTCGTTGTCCGAAAAATAGGTAGTTTACATAAATTATGATTAGGTAATAAACAGGTTTGTAAACTTGTTTACTACTATCTCTCTTATCTCCAAGAATAAAGCTATCTCCATTTTTAATCGCGAATTAAAATCTATTAATTTGCCCATATCACGTCTGAAGTGATGTGTTGTTGTTTTGTATCACAATCCCATAATAACTTTGTTGTGTAAGAAGTATGATAAAAACTGATTAAATCCACTTAATTGCAAAGTACCACGCATGTATTATAAGGAAGAGCAACCGATTTGGGTCTGGGGACAATCATGGCGATGCTACATTTTTCGAAACTTGACACGATTAAACCATCAGTTTTTTAAGACCAATCTTTGTTCACTGATGTTTTGAGCGGCAGAATATCACCCACGGTGTGGCATATGGATCCACCTTCGGACCTCTGTTATATATTTTTTTTTACTAAAAGTCTAATTTAATGTAGGTACGTATAGGTATCATTTGTACGCCTATGACACACAAATTGATTATTTCTGTAACCTAATAACCCACAGAATTAGTAAACATCGGGTTACCTATGGTTGGTAATTGGGTTGGAGCACAATCTATACTAAATTTTTTGTACTTCTTTTTGAATGTGATCATCTCGGGACAAAAATCATGTCCTGTATAAATTAAAAAAAAAAGAGTTTGCTGTGATGATGAGCCTACATCTTTACTTCATGTAATTCATTCATTCATCTGTTACAGACATCATACCCTAAAACAATGATCTTTGCTAAAACTAACCGTTACTTCAGTAGGTTCCGACTTAAAACAGGAGTTTATCTAAAAAGTAGTCAGTACAGCCATCTATGAAAATTCCAGAGTAGGTACTATATGTGGGTGTTAAACTGGCAGCAAATGAACGCTTCCAATTTAGAGACCATTCGTGCAATAAATATAAACGTGTCGTTACATACCTGAAGCAACACCTACACACACGAGAGCAGCAGAAGCCAATACAAGTTTAAAATTCATGATGATCGTAGGTACTGGTCGATGGGGGCAGCCTGCGTACCCTTTCATACCTACGGGATAACAGATTAGATAGCTACATCTCAAAATAGTCAAGAGGCAAATGAACGCCTTCTTGTCTTATCATTATTGCGCCATCATTTTTTCATTTATACCTATATTTGTTTGATGAGAAGGATAACTAAAGGAAAGGTGAATGGGTGAAGGGGAAGAGGAAAATTATACACTGCACCATCAGATGAAACAAGAGGCGCAGAATAGAAGAAAATGGAGAACCAGCTGCTACCCGCCTGGAGATCTTGCTTCCAAAAGCACTCCCTTTACCTTCAATTCTGTTCTATATTTCAAGACAGCTAAAGCACGTATCATAGGTCTTTGAGAAGTTAGGAGTCGAGCCGGCGATGATTGAGGCATAAAGGTCTCCCAAAAATGGCTTCCAATAGTCGTTACTGTATGTACGTGTATTACAACATAATTATTTCATGTTGTTGTTTAGTTTAGAGGAGAATGTCATAGAAAAAAGAACAATAACATACATTTATTTGCGATTTTATTTGCACAAAAATGTTCACAATTCTTATGGAAGCTTGGTCTCATTGCTCAATATGTGTTAGTATTGCAATAGTCTTGTATGCACTGCCAACAGTGTGTGATGTTATACTCGCTATGTTTCTTTATGGATGAACAGGAAGAGTGAGCACAATACCTCATCGCTAGATATTCGGTTTTTTTGTTTTTTGTGTAAGCTAAAGGGAGGTAGACGACATTTGTGTATGAGATAACATATTACTTACTTCCAATATAAAATGTGCAATATCCCGTTGGTGCGCAACTGTGTTCTTTTGTAACGTTAATAAAGCGACGACAGTTCTCCATGTCTTGAGGGGAGTACTCGGAACCCCCATAGCAAGAATATCAATCGGTTACCTGCTCAGCCCCTACAATTCAATACATTTAAGAAAATCAAATTTAAAATAACATATACGACGATGTTAGTCATGTGTCAAATGACATATTTCCATAGCAATAAATACGTACTACTACTAGTACTAACACCGTCCGTCCATATGAGGAAGGTGGAAAGTCTCAGAAAGGCTCGGAATGTTGTCTAGATTTATTTAACAATTTTATCAGAGAACCGACAAAACCTTTACCAGTGTTGGAATCGACCATATAGGTATTATCATTTTTGAGATCAAGAAAGGTATATTAATTAACATTAATTTCAATATGTTGTCAAACCTGTGATGCATTCTGTAAAAAATTACATAAATTATGATTAATAGCATAGGTACACGTTGTTAAACTTATCTCCAAAAATAAAGCGAAGTATCCACATTTTTAATTGCGAAATTTATTAATCTGCCCATATCGAATCTCAAGTGATTTATTGTTGTATTCTATCCTAGTCTCAAACTTTCCTAAGCCAAAGGGACGGAATATCTACTACAGTATCACGTTACAAAGAGAACGATGAACAGAAAAAAAGATGTGAAAAACACAGTAATGATCGCCTTCATGTAATTCTACCTCACTAAGATCAAATATACCCTAAAACTGAAGGTCATCAGTTTTGATTACAGTTCTGAACAGTCCCAACTGAATTTTAACTAAAGATTGATGATGATTGATGATGTTCATGGGTAGTTCAGTAGTTGTCGTCTTACAATAGGAGTTAACAATAAAAAAAAAGTACCTAGTTAGCACAATCGTATCTATGTTAATTTTAAAATTTGCTTTGTAGCCTGCGGACGCTAAGTAGGTACTTAGCATTTAAAAGTTCGTGACAGCAATAATAAAGGCTTTCAATTTATAGACTGCTCGTGCATAAAATTAGAAACTTCGTGTTACATACCTGAGGCAACACCTACACACAAGAGACCAACTGAAGCCAATACAAGTTTAAAATACATGATGAGAATAGGTACCTACTCGTCTATGAGGTAGCCTGCATACGCATTTATACCTACGTTTCAAGAGGTTTAAAAGATTAGATACAAAGTATAGTTAATAATCATCGGCTTATCTGCAACCTTTTACCGAAGAATACTCAGCCGTTTCGAAGATACAGGGCGTTCTTTACGGAAACCTTTGAATACCCCCTACCACTTCATTTTTAGAGATACAGGAAAAATTGTCAAACAAAATTGGTTCAGATTATCGTCAACTTCAAAGACCGGACATTTTTTTGTTAGGTTAATATAGTGGAATTCACAGAAACATCACTTGTTTAGATTCCAGATTGCAGTTACGCCCCCTAGCGGTCATTTCAGAAACTAAAAATATTTTCCCGGTTTTACTCGTCGCCGTTTTAGTAATAAAGTTTACCGCAAGCCTCTACGATGGATAGATTCTCAGATACAGTAGCTCGCATTCTTAGTTGGCCACCCTGTACATATCTGTAGTGTTACGTTATATAGTATTATAGTTGTTGCAATTCATCCGCCCTTCAATTCGGTATCAGTGCTGTCTTCTGTGGTGGAAATTCTCGAGCATCTCGTCTTAAAAATGCTGCTGGGAACCTCGTTCGGGCACTGCCACATGCTCTATGGAGATGATACACGTTTCTCTGTCTAGTTTTCGTAGTGCAGACGATTCGCTTGGTAACGCACGATTTGGTTGCACGAAACAAACTAGCATGAATAGGTCCCATGCCCGGGAAACACTTGACGTTCTCACCCGAATTCAATTATATTTATATCCCCTCTCTTAGTATCTACTGTAATTAAGTTCCGCTGCGACAAAACGTTTATAAGTTCTGCGCACCTCTTTTACCAGCTCTTGTCCATTCGACTTCGGATTGAATAGACGTAGACGTAAACTCTCCTTGCGATAATTTCATTGGAATTTTATAATCACCTCATTCTGAATATAAATATGTAATGCAGTATTTATGATCTTATTCTATTTACATGTGAAATGAAATTGCGCTATAACTTCTTTACATTGCTAATTCCCTTTTAGCTTCTTCACGGTTAAATAATATCCCAATTCGGGTCAAAAGTACAAACACAAATATCGACTTCCTTCCAATGCTAACTTTCAAACACTCGTACTTGAAGTGACATGCATATGCATATACCTAAATATAGCTTGCGCATTTTTGTCAACTTAAAAAATTCCTGTATAGGGAAATCACGAAGCGATAAATGAAAACGGGAATTCTAGTCCAGAGGAGTGCCCAGAAATTGCGAAAAAGTATGAATTAGGTGAAGTAATATGCGATAAATTAAGGGATGCTATGTTGGAGCAGTTTAGGGAACAGCTACAAGAGGGGAAGAAGGATGAATCGTCAGCATCTTCTTCGGAAGAAGAGTTTCAAATTGGATAAATCGAAAAATAGTTGAGCATTTATGTAGAAATAATGTCCATGAATTATATTAAAAAATAAACAGTATATAAGAAATTGCAATTAATTTTGTAACTTAAAATACGTTAGGCATATTAGATAGGTATGAGTTTTGGGCACAGAGTGCTTCAATTCGCAATTCAGCAGAACTTATACCTGGATTAACCTTAAACTTTTTCCTTTATCTGCTCTAGAAAAATTTGTTTAGTACTTGCCAAACAAATGGTTTCACTTGTCTTGAATAATGCAATTCCACTGTTCATTGAGGAGATGAAAAAGTACCCTCCAACCCCTCAAACAATTCTGAAATAGCCCTCGGGTGGCGTTTGACCTTGCGGAGGCACCTATCGGAGAACTATTACTATGCAGTACTTTCTAAAATCTAAGAAAACACCAATTATGCATGTATAGTCAATCATAATTATCTAAAATACAGTGAAATTGATTTTTTACTAGAATGTGAAATATTGTGGTGTCGAAATTGAAAGAGATTGAATCACGTAAAATGAAAATAGATCTGGCAACGATTCAAAAAGTGTTTATTAGCTAACAAGCATGGAATAAAAATATGTAATTACAAAATATATAAAAATTCTTTTAAATATTTACTTCTCTTCGGTAATGACGGTAGATTTAGCTGGACCAGTTTGCGTAATTGGCACGATTCGTTCACTCTTGATCTCCTTTGTGCCCCTACGTGGAGCAGTAATGGTCAAAACTCCATCGGATGAAAGACTCGAAACAACGGATTCGATTTCGTGCTCCTGAGGAAGAACGTACCTCCTAATGAAGTGTCTCGAAACGTACCCGTGCTCGTCTTGCTTCTCCTCGTGTTTACCCTCTACGATCACGCTGTTGTTGCTTGTTTTTACGGTGATTTCGCTCGGGGAAAACTGCTGCACGTCCAAGATCACCTGGAACTTGTCCTTGTCAGCGTTGATGGTCGAGCCCGAATCCTGTCTTGCGATTTCTGTACGCCATGGTCTGAAGTAACGGTTGCTGAGAAGGGAGCAGCGAGGCACGTTTGTGAATGAACTTAGGAGATCGTCCCTGTTTAACTCCGTTCCAAAGTGTTGGTCCAAGAGACGGCGCGGACGGGACAATTCGATGTCATCCCACCAGTCGCGGAAAAGTAATGGTACCATAGACATCTAAAAACCACACTTATTTACATTCAAGTACATGCTAAATATGAAACTGTACTGACCTTTCTCAACTAGGTATGTTTTGACTTGTGCTCGTTAGGCGCCCAAATGCGATACTGACTGCACCAGCAGCTGTGTGGTTATATATAGGTCTGAAGGCCTCCTTCGACTCTTCTAGAATGATCTAAACATACCTACCTGATGCTGATTCATAAAACGTCACAGATTTAGTGCCAAAAAGTAAAGTTGTAATAGACGAACAACCACTCATCCAAAAATAGTTAGAATTGCTTGCAGTCAATCGCAAAGTTGGTGTTATACACCTATAATAAAGCAAGAATAAAAATAGATCGATGATAAATATTTAAATAATAAGTACAAAGTTTCATTGCTTTAGATCAACGCGGCATCATTAAACTAAAATAGAATTTTATGTTACTGTGTACCTATCCTTTTATTAGGCTCGATAACGTTCCAGTTTGTAATTTTCTTCTAGAACAATGTCATCGAAGTAAATACTATTTTGTTAATAATTTCAAAAAATATACTTACCATTTATGGTAAATGGTGGTAAATATCTTTATACAATAATTTTTAAAAAACAAGGCATTTTTACCAAAGCTTTGACATGATTACAATGAAGATTTGATAAATATACTGATTCCTTTGCACACTCCAAGTGTAGAAGAAACCCTTTGAATTGCATTTCCGAGTCAGTGAAACAAGTAAATAGTTCACTTGTTCTCACCAGTAAGTTATACCAAATGTAAGCTTTGTTTATCCACAGGTTTCGACTGCAACTGGTTTAAAAATGAACAACTTCCCTGTCAAAGTACTCCTTTGATTCAGCCTTTTCGACTGCTGACTCAATCTGATTCTTAATTGATGTAAGATAAGAGGGCGCAAACGTAAAATCTTACCCTTTTGACCATAACTCGAGGGATAAACCATCAGGACTTTTACCATCTGAATTCAGTTGATAGTGGGAGCGGCCCGCGGGAAGAAACGACATTTCGTATTAAAATTGTACTTCGTACACACGTTCCCTAGGTCTCTTGAACTGATTCGAGTCGCAGAATCATTTAGAATTGAAAATAGCGTCAAATTTTAAAATTGAGGCGAATTTCAGGCAATGAATAATGCACAAATTTGCCCGTGAGATTAATTCCCGTGAGTCGACCTCTTCAGGAATGTTAGAATGAATTTAAACATCAATCCGTTATACAAAATTTCCAAAAAAAATCGACTCCTATGGTTGCAAAATGCAAACAATTCAAAATAACTTACATTTATCGATGAGTTACCATTTTCTCCAGTCGACCGTTGATTTTCTCCTTTGGCCGAGTATTAGTTCCCGTTCTCTTTCCTTATGAAGCGGTACACGTGTAACATTTCGTATACCGGCAAATTTGTAAATTTAACCATCCGTGACTGCGACTTTTCGATGAAAACTGCTGCTTTCGTTGCGAATAATGCTTTTATATAGATCCGATTGTATTAAGATAAGAACGAGGAGTGCATAAGAAAAAGAACTTTTTAATGACCTTACCTTTGACCTGTTACTTAAAATAAGAATGGTTATCGTAATGAGTAATAGCTAAATTATTATAAGTCTTTGGTGGCCGTGAAGAATTTTAAGCATTAAAAAAATTCCATGACTAGAAGAACTAAAAGAATTTGATCTTGAAAAAATGGTAGAATCTAAAAAAGACGAATGATTGAAAGTATCTGAAGAATTTGGACCATAATACCTACGAATGAACAAATCTGACCTCTTTATGTTTATGAAATACCAATCTCTCATTATAGGAAGAGGACGTTTTATTAGGAGAACATGCTGATTAATACTACACTCAGGAAAATATTGTGAGAAAGTTTCTATACACAAATACTTGATCTTGAATTTCTGCGGTCCCGATACTATCCAAAGAGAAAGTTTTATCAGGAGACCATAATACCTACGAATGAACAAATCTAACCTCTTTATGTTTATGAAATAGCAATCTCTCATTATAGAAAGTGGACGTTTTATTAGGAGAACAGGCTAATTAATACTACACTCAGGAAAACATAATGTGAAAGAAGGTTTCTATAAGCAAATACTTGATCTTGAATTTCTGCGGTCCCGATACTTGCCGAAGAGAAAGTTTTACCAGGAGATCATAATACATATGAATGAACAAATCTGACCTCTTTATGTTTATGAAATACCAATCTCTTATTACAGAAAGAGAACGTTTTGCTAGGAGCACAGACTGATTAATACTACACTCAGGAAAACATAATGTGAGAGAAGGTTTCTATAAACAAATACTTGGTCTTGAATTTCTGCGGTCCCGATACTTTCCAAAGAGAAAGTTTTACCAGGAGATCATAATACATATGAATGAACAAATCTGATCTCTTTATGTTTATGAAATACCAATCTCTCATAGAAAGAGGACGTTTTATTAAGAGAACAGGCTGATTAATACTAACTACCCTCAGGAAAACATAATGTGAGAGAAAGGTTTCTATAAACAAATACTTGATCTTGAATTTCTGCGGGCCCGACACTTTCCAAAGAGAAAGTTTTATCAGGTGATCATAATACCTCTGAATGAACAAATCTGACCTCTTTATGTTTATGAAATATCAATCTCTCATTATAGAAAGAGGACGTTTTATTAGGAGAACAGGCTGATTAATACTACACTCAGGAAAACATAATGTGAGAGAAGGTTTCTATAAACAAATACTTGATCTTAAATTTGGGCAGTCCCGACACTTTCCAAAGAGAAAGTTTTATCAGGAGACCATAATACCTGAAAATAGCGCCAAATTTTAAAATTGAGGCGAATTTCAGGCAATGAATAATGCACAAATTTGCCCGTGAGATCAATTCCCGTGAGTCGACCTCTTCAGGAATGTTAGAATGAATTTAAACATCAATCCATTATACAAAATTTCTAAAAAAAATCGACTCCTATGGTTCCAGATTGCAAACAATTCAAAATAACTTACATTTATCGATGAGTTACCATTTTCTCCAGTCGACAGTTGATTTTCTCCTTTGGACGAGTATTAGTTCCGTTCTCTTTCCTTATGAAGCGGTACACGTGTAACATTTCGTATACCGGCAAATTTGTAAATTTAACCACCCGTGACTGCGACTTTTCGATGAAAACTGCTGCTTTCGTTGCGAATAATGCTGTTATATAGATCCGATTGTATTAAGATAAGAACGCGGAGTGCATAAGAAAAACAACTTTTTAATTACCTTACCTTTGGCCTGTTACTTAAAATTAGAATAGTTATCGTAATGAGTAATAGCTAAATTATTATAAGTCTTGGGTGGCCGTGAAGAATTTTAAGCATTAAAAAAATTCCATGACTAGAAGAACTAAAAGAATTTGATCTTGAAAAAATGGTAGAATCTAAAAAAGACGAATGATTGAAAGTATCTGAAGAATTTGGACCATAATACCTACGAATGAACAAATATGACCTCTTTATGTTTATGAAATACCAATCTCTCATTATAGGAAGAGGACGTTTTATTAGGAGAACATGCTGATTAATACTACACTCAGGAAATCGTAATGTGAGGGAAGGTTTCTATAAACAAATACGTGATCTTGAATTTCTGCGGTCCCGATACTTTCCAAAGAGAAAGTTTTATCAGGAGACCATAATACCTACGAATGAACAAATCTGACTTCATTATGTTTATGGAATACCGATCTCTCATTTATAGAAAGAGGACGTTTTATTAGGAGTACAGGCTGATTAATACTACACTCAGGAAAACATAATGTGAAAGAAGGTTTCTATAAACAAATACTTGATCTTGAATTTCTGCGATCCCGATACTTTCCAAAGAGAAAGGTTTATCAGGAGACCACAATACATATGAATGAACAAATCTGACCTCTTTATGTTTATGAAATAATCTCTTATTACAGAAAGAGAACGTTTTGCTAGGAGCACAGACTGATTAATACTACACTCAGGAAAACATAATGTGAGAGAAAGGTTTCTATAAACAAATACTTGATCTTGAATTTCTGCGGTCCCGACACTTTCCAAAGAGAAAGTTTTGTCAGGTGACCATAACACCTATGAATGAACAAATCTGACCTCTTTATGATTATGAAATATCAATCTCTCATTATAGAAAATGGAGGTTTTATTAGAACAGGCTGATTAATACTACACTCATGAAAATATTGTGAGAAAGTTTCTATACACAAATACTTGATCTTGAATTTATGCGGTCCCGATACTTTCCAAAGAGAAAGTTTTATCAGGTGACCATAATACCTATGAATGAACAAATCTGACCTCTTTATGTTTATGAAATACCAATCTCTCAATATAGAAAGAGGACGTTTTATTAGGAGAACAGGTTGACTAACACTACACTCAGGAAAACATAATGTGAGAGAAAGGTTTCTATAAACAAATACTTGATCTTGAATTTCTGCGGTCCCGACACTTTCCAAAGAGAAAGTTTTATCAGGTGACCATAATACCTATGAATGAACAAATCTGACCTCTTTATGTTTATGAAATACCAATCTCTCAATATAGAAAGACGACGTTTTATTACGAGAACAGGCTGATTAATACTACACTCAGGAAAACATAATGTGAGAGAAGGTTTCTATAAACAAATTCATGATCTTGAATTTCTGCGGGCCCGATACTTCCCAAAGAGAAAGTTTTATCAGGAGACCATTATATCTACGAATGAACAAATCTGAGCCCTTTATGCTTATGAAATACCGATGTCTCATTATAGAAAGAGGACGTTTTATTAAGAGAACAGGCTGATTAATACTACACCCAGGAAAACATAATGTGAGAGAAGGTTTCTATAAACAAATACTATCTTGAATTTCTGCGGTTCCGATACTTTCCAAAGAGAAAATTTTATCACGAGACCATGATACCTATGAATGAACAAATCTCACCTCTTTATGTTTATGAAATACTGATCTAAAACTATAGAAAGAGGTCGTTTTGTTAGGAGAACAGGCTAATTAATACTACAATTGTGTTCCATAAAAGTTTGTATCATAACGTAAAAATTACGTTTCTGTGACGCTGATACCTGAATACCCTATTTATATAAGGAGAACGTGTCTGCATTTCGTTGACGATGATGCAGCAGAAAACTTTTTTATTTGTGCAATTCTAACATTTCTAAAGAGAAATTTGTATTAGGATAACATAATAGTTATGTTATTATCCTTACGTTTGTAATCCTGCTACATTAATTTTTAAAATTGGGAGATACGTAAGGTGTGCGTAAATTGTGCATTTGTATTTCGGGCGCAACAATCTTTAAGGTGAACATAATACCCACGCATTTTGGGTTTATGTGATCCTGATGAGTTTTAAATGATAATATGAGAGAAGGTTTCTGTAAACAAATACTTGTTCTTGAATTTCTGCGATCCCGTTACTTTCCAAAGAGAAAGTTTTATTAGGAGACCATAATACCTATGAATGAACAAATCTGATGTTTATGAAATACTGATCTAAAATTATAGAAAGAGGACGTTATGTTAGCAGAACAGGCTAATTAATACTAGACTTGTGTTCTATAAAAGTTTGTATCAAAACGTAAAAATTATCATCATTTCTAAAGAGAAATTTGTATTAGGAGAGCATAATAGATACGTGAGCCTTGCGTTTGTAATCCTGCTAAGTTCATTAATTTTTCAATTTGGGGGATACGTAATGTGTTGTGCGTAAATTGTGCATTTGTATTTCGGACACAACAATCTTTAAGGAGAATATAAGACCCGCGCATTTTGGGTTTATGTGATCCTGATGTATAATTTTAAAAAATGTATCAGAACATCACAAGGTTTTTTCTAATAAATTTGCCAATGTACTTACGTTGTTAAAGTCAAAATCAGCATTAAGGGGAGATGTGTGCTTTTCTATGAGACCCATGAATTTCTATCAGGGGAATATGATACGTGAATAGACGTTCCTTAACCAGTTTTATACTTTAATTGTTTCTTCTTAATAAGCATATTTTTAGAAGAATCAAGAGAAAATAATATGCGAGGTGTTTCTGTGAATCCGCTAAAGAATGATCGCCGAAAGGAATCATTAATGTATTGTACCATGCTCAGAAAAAAACTTGTGCATTTTCAGGTAAGTACCTCGAGAAGCATTTGCAAACTTGATGATGCATTTAAACTAACACAGATTACTGCAGTTCGCAATCAGTGGCGTCCCTTACAGGCGACCAAGACCAATTTCCATGCACCCTTTCGAGCTGGTAAAATTGAAATATTGACTCAGTGAATGGCTTGCTTGATCTGGTACTTTTTACCATATTTCGATTTTGAAAAAATCCAGCATGCTTTTTGAAATTTCCCGCTCTTGGGAAAACTAGCCTCTAGGTATAGTTGTCCCTATAACTCCCTCCCCTTTGGAATTGTTTCCTAGAATTAAAAAAAAATGCTATATAGTCTCCCCCCCCCCTCCCCTAGCTTAATTACAATTTTTGGTGAGTTGATTGATATGTGGTGTGCATAGTTCCAGCATAGAAGGTTGGTGTTTCGTAAAGACTACCGTCTATATTTGGGATACAGAGCCGCATATAAAAAAAATTACACAACCAATTTCAGCCTTTCAGTTACGCTACTGCCTTAAATTAATATTCTAGTTGTCAGTAAGTGATTTACGGGCTATAAATTGAATTGTACAGCTTAGGTGCCGACACTTAATTTTTGCATTGAACGTTGTACGAATCTGATCATGTACTTTTTTGCGGTAAGTTGCTCTTTGATTTGACCCTTAAATTAAATTTGCAAAAATTTCAGGTGCTAATTTTCCACTTTACGTATGTTCCGTAAGTTTATTTTGAGCATAATTATTGCATGTTCGTTAATTTTCTATAAATCGTATATTACAACTTCGTTTCATTTTCCAGATCGCAAAGTGATGGATATATATTTCCCATTGGTAAGTCCACTTCAAGTTATCTTCCTTTTACCGAAAAAATTATTGGTCCCCTGCATCTTGCATTATATATGTGGTAAGCTTCCTCAGTCATGGTTTTTTGAAACAAAATTTGCATGAAACGCGATTTTTAATTTGTTGCTCCTCAACAATTTCCATTTTTTTTAAGTTTAATTAGCTCAAATGCAGTCGAGTATGCATTTAATCAATTTGATTCAATTGATCAGTTGGAAATGTCCATCATTGTTTATAGAAATTGTTAGCACTTATTCAAATGACAATGTAACCAATCAGCACAATTGATAAAGTGCATTTTTCCTCGAACATAAAGTGCAAGTGCAATTATTGGAACTTCAGCGGATCATCCAAAAAGAATGATTGTAAGAATAACTTTTTCCAGTTTCCAGTTACTATACAAAATGATGCTTATTCTAAATTTCTTTCATTACGGAATCATCTTGGAATGACTTCAATACTTTTGGGAAATATTATTCGGAGCCGCCTGTAAATACTCTGTAACTAAGACTTTTTTGAAATATTTTTCAAAAATCTTACATTTTTTAAATACTCCTAAATCTTTTACAAATGTTCCAATTTTTTTTATGGTATATGATTGGAGGGTTAATTACTGGAATGTCCCTAGAGTATTGTTAATACTGTTTTTTGAAAATTTAGTAACTTGAACTGAAACTAACTTAATCTAATCGAAAAAGAAACAAAATTCAGTTTCTTTGTTCAACAATTTTTTCGTTGATGACGCACTCTGCTATTTTGCGTACCGATCGATACATGCATGAAGCCCTTGGGCCGTACCGTGCCGATGTTTGTTTACATTTTGGCATTCTTTTCGCTGGGTTTCCGTTATCATATACCCATCAATATTGAGGGTACGAAATCGTGGGGGAAAATCTAGTATTAAATAAAAGATTTATTGCGAAATCCTTTTTTGTTGTTTTGAATATACAAAGATACTAATTCCCTTTTCATAATTTGGAGTACTGGTCCAAGTAAAATTCACTAGGAATTCTTTGGATTCGATTGAATAATAAAAAGAAATTTTAATACGTCTCTACGTTATCATTTTCACGTGAATATTATAAAGATCTTGGCATAGCCATGTTGAAAATTTAATAATCTTGCTTCTAAGGCACTGAAACTATTTTGTACTTAAATGGGAGCAGGTTCATTAATTAAAACTCCAATATAACAACAATAAATAACCCAACTCCTATTAAAATACGCAAAAATAGAAAACTTAATTTGATAATTGAAATTCTTACATATCACGGTAATATTTGTTCGGTTTTAGCTTTTCATCTCACTTTGGCCAGCCCACTGGCTGGCTGGCTAGCAGCAAATGCTGTAGAAAGACGATGAGTGTACCGAGGCCGTGTAATTAACTTTAGGGACGAAGCTACATGATCTGTGGTAGGTGACATCTGGATCTGAACGCTATCACCGAGCGTGGGTTTGCTAACGTGGTGATTTTTCAATTTTTCCCATTTTCCTCTACAGTTTTGCTCTGTTTGTTTTTAAATTGGTATCGTCGGAAAGGTTTTGTAAACGCGCACAAACAATTCTTTTGTTTATAACAAAATACAAAAGTCATAATACCTTTTTCATCCATATTAGTTTGAGGTGTCGTCGATCTCCAGTGATTCCTAGTGGAAAGTTCTTCTGGGTCAGGGTTAGCGTTGTGATATGTGCAGATTCTTCCTTTAAAGCCTTCCATTTATGGTTCTTACGGTCACAAAAGAATTTACCGTCTTTTGCGAGTACCACCTCGGCGATTAAAATAGTTGATTTGAGTTTGAGTGTCTCTCAACATTCACTTTCAACGAGTAACCAAATTTATCTGACGATACGTTCTACCATCCAATTTTCTGAACTGCGGCTACTTTTCAAAAGAAGAAAATCAACTGTCAATTGGAGAAAACTTCGGCGCATCGATAAATGTAAGTTAATTGGATCTTTTTGCATTGTGTAAAAATAGGAGTCAATCGTTTTGGAGATTTTGTATAAAAAAATTAGGTTACCAAAGTCAATTTAACATTCCTGAAGAGGTCGACCCACCGGAGTTTATTCTGGGAACTGAAATAGGAAAATGTACGAGGCATTGGATTAATTACAAATATTAAAAATTCTAGATAATTAATTATATTTGCAACGTGATCACGAGACAAGCTCCCGTTCTTATGTACAGGGTGTCTTAAATTGAGTAGGATACCATGGCTATCTTTGTTATATTTATACTTACAGATTCGGTTAAATTGGCAAAGGTGTGTTTGAAGCTGAAGCATATTCCGATGTGATGTTTTGAAAAAAATAATTCGTTTCGTAGATGATGGGAAAAAAGTGAAAATCGTCATTTTTAAAAAGTTTAAATATTTTAGTAACAAAGAGAGCTATCGAAAAAAGTTTCAAATAAAAGTTGCAAGATTCGACGGGATAAATTCAATAGACGTAGAAAAAAAATTTTAAAATGGCGGTTGCCGAGAGATTGACACAACTTTGCCAATTTGCAGGTTGCAGATGGTATGGATGCCGTACCAATCTGAACTTCGCCCTTTTGGGTTATCACATAAATTATTCTTTAGTTACTATCATAAACTTGTAAACGGCAACTCAATAAACGACTATTATTATTATTATTTAACCGAATCTGTAAGTACAATAATAATAAAGATAGCCATGTTATCCAACTCAATTTAAGACACTCTGTATATCCGCTTCCGTGTTTAAAAACCGAAGCGACTCCAACTGAAATTTGACGGATCGCGTTTATTTTCGCGCAACTCTCGCGGTTGACTTGCCGTTGTTTAGTCGCTTTGTACGACATGCCTACCTCTGCGGTACAATTATTCTACAATCCGGCCCTGCACTGGGAAATATGTACAGAAGACTGTACCACAAAAATATCGATACCAAATCTAAGGAAGAAAATCGTTTAAAATTAGAAATGAAGGGAACACCCTTGCGGATTCCTGTTACAATATACAAAAATTGTAGATTTTGCTTTTCTAAAAATTTTCATTTTTTCCTGTGGATAAAAATTGAGTAAAATAAATCAATTCTTCTTCTTTGAAAGACAATCTAACCTCAGAGCATTCGAAAAACTTTCGCACTTCCGCAGTTTTTGGTCGCAAATCATAATAAATTATAAAGTAAACTAAATTTCATGTAATTTGAGTCCAACCCCAATTGCTTGAATTCACCAGTTCATATTTCTTCAAAAAGTTGTAATTTTAAGATTTGACTCCCTTAAAATCGAAAAGGGGATAAAATCGGATTTTGTTTGATCTCTAAGCTATATTTTTTAAAAGATAAAATGAATCGCTCAACTTGAAAATGTTATTGTTAAAAATTATTAGGGTATTTGTAAATGTATAGTGGGTTGATAGAACAGCCTTGGCTGAAATCCCGCCCACTCAAAAATAAATAAAAATGAAAATATGCCCTGAGATCAACAGCACAGCTCCTAGCAAACTAGTCCCGTTGTCACACAGGCCCATGGATCCTCTTTTGCATTTGGACGAAATGAGTTTTAAGATCCCGGAAGACGCTGGAGATCAACCACCAACCATGATGGTATCTGGTAGTATTTACGATGAAAGTGGTGAACTGCCGCTTTTTCGGTTGAGGGTTGGCGAGAAACCTTGGTAGCAGATTTTACAGAGCACTTGGCCCCAGCTATAGCAGCTTCTTCTTGGGTGGTGTTCGGGTGCGTGCCATCGCCTTACTCGAAAATGACCAGCATCTTCAGTTTCGAGCCAGAAAAAGTCGCTCACATCCGAACTTCTCAAAACCAGGGGCGGGTATGACGCCTCCCTACGACTGACTGAGGAGGTTTGATATTGTAACGGTCCTGACTCATCTCTGCCACTTGCGTGGATCCAAACGCTTTCGTAGGCATGGCTCTTAAAAAGGGCTGTCCCTATGGTTTATTATTGCAAATCTTGGGCGCCTGTCCAATTTTTTATTGCAGGTTTTACGTGCAATCAGTCACGGTGTGATGAATACTGTCCGTATGGATATAAGACTGACGTAATTGGCTGCAGAACATGCACGTGCGATAATCCATGTGCCGGTAAACAGTGCGAGCCATATCAACAGTGTGACGTGGACCATTGGACGTGTCATGGAAACACATACTATTTCAGTTTAATGTGTAAGTCCACCAAAACACAAAAGGTGATGCTGAGTAGCAAGTGTAAATGTACAGGTCGCGCCAGTTGTCCCTTGCACGAATGCAAACCACAAGATTGTCCTTACGGCCATGAGAAAGATGAAATGGGATGCAAAGGCTGTGGATGTATGAATCCTTGCAAATATCAAAGATGTGGACCGGGCGAAGTCTGCGTCGCTGAGGAGATGTGCTCTGAAGGGCCTCGTGGCATAAAACTTAAGTGTAAGGTTGAATGGATTATTATCAAATAGGTATTTCTTATTTTCGTCTAGGTTTGCGAGCCAACGCCACCGGTACAAAACAGTGTGAAGAACTACCCTGCCATTCTACTACATACTGTCAATTTGGTTTTGCAGTCGATAGTGATAACTGCCCCACCTGCACGTGCATCACCAACCTCTGCTCCCGAGTTGTATGCCCTTTATTCCATTATTGTACTGCAAGATATCCTAGTTGCAGATCGCCACCTTGTCCTGCACCCTCTCCAAAATGTAAGTACGCCCCATTTCCATTCGACACCCATAACTCGCGATTTTTAGGTAAACCAATTTGTCCGAAAGGTACCGAAATACTAGTAGGGATGAATGACTTTCCCGTCGAATGCAATGACGACGAATGGATATGCCCTAAAAAGTACGATTGTCTCAGGGTAAATGATCTGAGCACATCGTACTGCTGCAAACCGTTAGAAGAACAATAATTTCTCATAAGGACGATTATATCAACGATTCTATATCAAATATGTATTAATAAAGGATATATGGTACTAATTTACGAAATAAATATTTAGAGAAATTCGTATTTTCATTGTTCTTCGTATATCAGTAAAACAGTACGAGGACGTTTGCGGCCCCAAAACTATTTTGTTAAGTTTGAATAAGAAGAGGGAACTAAATGTGGACTGTAGGAGTTTGTGGACGCATCGTTTTCGCACATTGTGGACACTAAAATTAACTGGCGATAGAAAATCCCATTATGAAGATATCGTTTGGGAAAAGAAACTAAAATGTGCGAGATACTGACCAATAAATGTAGGTAATTGCTTTTCATTTATTACTGATTAATTGAATTGAATACAATAATTTGCACGTACCTTTTATAATTCACAAAACTTGCATATGGCAATGTAAAGATACGACTTACTCCCGTTTCGATTATGTTCATTACTTGGTTTTACCTAAATGCAGCCTTTATGAACGTTAATTATTATTATTTAAAAATTAATCTGCCCAAAACTATGCATCGGGCGAACGTCAATTGTTTGTAATTGGAATTAAGTTTGCCCAAATATACGAGTAGCTAATGTAGCTGAAATGATAAATTATTCATATTTGCTTGTCCCATTTGTATGTTAGTTTATATTTCAATTTCATCACTCCGTGAAAATGAATTTGAGTAATTTAGATAAATTTGTACTGACTAGAGTTGTTGCAATGCTTATGGAAGGTTCGTAATTAACAATTTACCCTAACAAAAAGGGAATTTTTTAGATCCCCGGGGCTCGAGGAGAACCGGAGAAGATCCTGAAAAGGATCGAAATCCAAAACGCTAGAGTTACAACCAGAAATTGGCGTGTGGTAGACCGGAAGTAGGACACCAAGGGACAAACTCTGATTTGGGAACCACTTATAACCATCGACCCTACGTGCACTTCACCAGGGTGCGGTTCAAACTCCTCCCCGAGACGAAGGTGGAGGGCGAGGACGTAACAAGCATGGAGTGCGAAGAGGTAACAACAGTTGGAGGGGAGGGGACGCACTTTAGACCTACAAAAGGCTAATACGAGGTCTGGGGGACCGACAGGGGCGCGCACTTTTGCTGGCTAGTAAAACCCTAAGTTATAAGGGTCAATCGTTTTAGGGATTTTGTATTAAAAAAATTCAAATTCAATTTGAACATTCCTGAAGAGGTCGACCCACGGGAGTTAATTCCTTGAACAGATTTGTATATTATTGATAATTCCCAAACAAAAGATTTTGGCGATTTTTTGCTCATTAATGGTGAAGTGGAATGTTAATTGATGCCATTCTTTTATGCGGGTTCAATTTTATTTAGTACCCAGAAGTGTGTAGATACAGGGTGATTCCTATAGTACCTGCCACCGTTTGGGACCGTGTAGGTGGTGCGTAGGGGAGTATTTTGATATAGGACACTTGGGGTCGGAAATCTAAAATAAGGGTGCCAGAGCCAAATTTACCTTCTGGAATTTCGCGCCTGTAGGTAGGCAACCCAACCGGCCGGCGGTGCACACGGAGCGATCTCAGGCGGCGATGTGTGGCTGACACTTGATCAGAATTTTGTTTAAACCCACGAAATCCCGTCTGCAACGACGCGTATGAAGTGAATAAACACTATGGCAATAGTATAATAATAATAGTTGGTTAGATGTAGGAAGTGCATTGAGAACAACGGTGGCCACGTTGAACACTTGTAAACGTTATTGCTTTTGACTGTCGTTTTCCCTCCTTCCCTCCCATGTCGCTTCCTCGCGCTAACTCGCTCTGCATCGCTCCGCGCGAAACGTCGGTCGGTTGGGTTGCCTACATACAGGCGTGAAATTCCAGAAGATAAATTTGGTTCTGGCGCCCTTATTTTAGATTTCCGACCCCAAGTGTCCTATATCAAAATACTCCCCTAGGCACCCCCTATACGCTCCCAAACGGTGGCAGGTACTATAGGAATCACCCTGTATACCGTTTGAATAGGAAAATGTACTATACTCTATTCATTTTAAGAAGGTAGCGGTAGAAAGCATAGGGACAGTTTGACCTTCACTGTGATTGGTTAAAACACCAGTCAGTATTACCCTGAAAAATAAAACGAGTGACGAATTCTGTCTGTTGGACGTTTCAGTTACGAACTAAACTGTCGCACTGTCATTAGCTGTCAATTTCAAAGATCCAAGTGTGATATCGTTTGATTTATATGTATTTATATTTGGCAAATTTTGTGCAGTTTTATATTTTCCCTGTGTGTATCTATCTTCAAACACAGCGCCATCTATTACCTTCTTATAATGAATGCAGTATAGGCGTTGGTTTAATTACAAATATTGAAAGTCTAGATGTACAGAAGCCCATACTATCGAAATAGAGATAGCAACTCTAAGAAAGAAAAATATTAGAAATGAAAAAATACCCTTACGGGCTCCCATTACATTCTTGTGGAGTACAAAATTGTAGATTTTACTTTTCTGAAAATTTTCATTTTTTTCTATAGGATAAAAATTGAGTAAAAAATGGCAATTTGCATATGCAACTCCCCCTCCCCCCTTTCTAAAATAAGAACAGAAAGAAAATGTAATCAATATGGGCTTTTAAGAACCTGATAGTTTAATAAGCTACTTTTGGAGTCATCGAACCGAAGTTGTATCCATTCTTCTTCATTCTTCTTTCCAATGAAATATTTTCTACCCTCAAAAAGGGGTGGTATCCACGCCAAGGCAAAAGTAACCTTCGCCACAAAGACAAATTATTGTGCAAATCGGTGCAAAATTATACGGTATCACCCTATTATACCGTTAACCACTGGACCAAAGTAGAATCTTCTTCGAGAGAAATAAACTTCACATATGCTTATTGTCTGGATCTTGTCACTGCGTTTTAGGACATCATCATTGGTCTTCAGTAAAAATTAGCAAAATATTTACAAGTTTTATTCCACTGACTGTAAACAATAAACATTGCAGTTTTTGGTCCCAAATCATAAAATTATAAAGTAGACAAATTTCATGTAATTTGAGTTCAACGCCAATTGTTCGAGTCCAATAGTTCCAATAGTTTATATTTTTTTTTCCAAAAAGTTGAAAATTCAAGATTTGACACCCTTAAAAAACGAAAAGGGGATCTCTAAGTTATATTAAATTTAAAGATAATGAATCGGTCAACCTGAAAATGTTGTTTGTTAAACATTATTAGCTATGATTGCATGAAAATAACAAAATACCAGGAATCGCATACGAACCTTAGACCTACAAAGGGCTAATACGAGGTCTGAGACTGACAGGAGCGCGGCTCATTACTGAGCCAATCGAAATCAATCCTAGATCGTGCATCTTAACGTTAATTCTGTTGCACCTGGTGGCAGTAATGCTGACAGTGGAAAGGGATCCACAACCAAGGATCGAAGTTGGCAAACTGGTGGAACACTGTTAGCAAAAAGGATGCCAACTCCTTCTCGGATGTGATGCCAATGCGCAATTCAATCTCGAGATCTGTCCCATAGGAGTTAATAACTTGGAGGTCATGGTATCAAACAAGGCAAGCTGTCCAACAAAAGAAAGGAGAGACTCAAATAATGTGCCCTGGTAGCACGAGGAACCCTCTCAATTGCGGGGGCAGATAATGGACTTTTTTAATAAAGTAAAAAACACGGGGGAGTAGGGTTCATACGGAACCGAATACAATAAGGCCATAAGGAAGGCAAAAAGTAACTCATGGAGGAAGAGGGGAAGGCAATTGAACAAATTTCAGAAACTACCAGACTCCAAAGAGCTCTATAGAAAGGAACAGAGGGTGAAATCGGTTCCTTGAAGAAAATTGAGACCGCAAAGAACACCTTTTGCTTCAGTCACACTTTCCGGGATCAAAAAACCCTCGCTCAAAATCACGTGGGCGAAGCAATTACTTTGGAAGCACTTCTCGTGGGGAATAAAGGAGATTGGGTTTGGTCTTGGGATATAATGCACCTAACCAACGTTACGTGGGTAGTGAAGACTTTCCATCCCCAAAGATGGATGGAATCTTTCTTGGTCCACTATAACAAGGTCTCGCCTCCACATTATGTTGCACGTTACTACCCTGGAATACATACTTATGACGTGGAGGAACGTATAAGTCGTAGTCATACCGAAACCTGGGCTCAAACCAAGTCGTTTAGACCCATGAGTGGGACCACTCCTAGCACAATAATAACAATGATCATCATCAAAGAAGTCAGAGTGTAAGAGAAGGTGAAAAAGAGTTGGGACCTAACACGGAAAAGCTATAAAGGATCAAATTTAAAGCTTATTTAAGTGGATCTTAAAAAACAAAAATTTTACGGCCTGGTTCCAACTACTTACGTCACTGTTTCGAATAAATTTCGCCTGCTGTCAACAAGGATAATCCTGGTATAGGCATTTCTACCTACTTACTGGATTATCCTGATTAGCAACTTCAATAAAGCAACTTATAAAGGTGTGGGTAGGCTTAATAATTCAACAGTCATGTACCTTTCCGCAGTAAGTATTTTGCATTATTTGGTTTCAAAAGCTCATTTGGTTTTAGGCGCTAATTGTTGGGTAAGTAATTTTGCAATGAAGCTTGGGGTAACTTCGCCGCCATTTTGCAGATTGTGCGCCAGTGGGTTGGCAACAAGTAAGTAGCTGTACTGCCTTCATGTACTAACCCATTTATAGGAGATCCATGTGAATATCCGCCTTGCGACGTCTTTTGTCCATACGGACACGTTACTGATCAACTGGGTTGTAAGACGTGCGCGTGTCTTGATCCCTGCGCTAATAAATCATGTGGTTCGGAAGAAGAATGCGAAGTTCAAATTTCTACTCAATGCGTTGAGGAACCATGGGAATGGTTTATTGGAAATTGTACGTATTTACGCGCAAATGTAACCATGTAACAATTGTACAGGTCGCCCTAAGTGCCCAGTAAACGACTGCATCTCAGACTATTGCCCTTACGGAAATGCGAGAGATGAGAACGGCTGCGTTACGTGCGAATGCGTTAATCACTGCAAAAACCAAACTTGTGGACCTGATCAAACCTGCATTACTGAGCACTTCTGCTCCCACGCTGTATGTGGAATGAGAGTGAAGTGTAAGCTACTAATTAGCACGTCTGAGGCTAACTAACAATCGCAGGTACTAAAAGGTGTGAAGATCTACCCTGTCATTCAACTGAATTCTGTGAGTATGGCTTTGAATTAGATCGTGATAATTGCGCCACATGCAATTGCAATCAACCATGCCAAGGAGTCGTATGTCCACTAAATCAGTACTGCTTCGTCAGCACTATTTATTGTGTGACGTTACCATGCCCCCCGCCTACAGCAATATGTAATGTAGTATCAGTTCCAGTACAGTTAACCATTCGAGTTTCAGGTCAATCGTTTTGTCCAGAGGGTAGTGCTTTGTTTACAGGAGCATACGACAGCCCCGTGAAATGTACAAATTCAAGGATCTGTCCAAAGGGATATACATGTCGTAATGCCACTGGCCTAAGTGATTCGCATTGCTGCGAAACCATAACAGCATAAAATGTCGCTCCGATTTGTTTACCATACTTTTGTATTGTATGTTATTGCTTGGTTTTAAGGTAAAGTCGACCATGTCAAATATTAAAGGAAATAGTGTGTGAATTGTTATATTGAGCGATTTATTTACTTACTTATTATCCCTCTCTTGTTCTGGGCCCTCAACAGGTTTGCGCCCAATTACAGAGTGACCCGCATTTTAGAGGTGCTTCTGCAGAAGGTCTTGAGCTGTTCTATACTACTCCGGTATTTACCTAACGAATTAGGAAAACCTAATTCGGAGTAGTCGGCAAAATGCTCGAAACTGGCCTAAGATAATTCCCATCTCTGCCTCAACCCAGGTTCGAACATCCGACCTCAAACCTTTCACTAAACTATAGCCCTCTACCTCCTCGTGGTGAAAGGCGCGAAAGTGTTTATGTGTCTCAGTAGTATTTATGAGCAAGATGGTATAGAGCCGCCCTGTCGGGACCAACATCTCCCTCTCGCTCCTCGCCTCCATGGCCTCATTGATTTCCAACACAGAATTGAGGTTCCTAAACGACTCTCCATCTTTTGGGTCAGTTTTTCATAATAAAAATATTGGCCATTTTAATTTGTATGCCATGCTACATTCCCCAATAAGTGTGGAGCCGGAAGGAGAGGATATGCTTATATCTTTTACGTTGACTATGCCCCTTTTTAATTTCGGTCTAACGAGCGATCGCATAACTGACTTGTACTCAGGACCTATTAACTATAAGAACGTGGACGAGATTAGGGGTTGAAATGGACAATTGGAAACTCTATTGGCAGAATAATACTAATGTCTTTATTATAATAGGGGTAGTTCAGCCTAGGCCTGCTTCTTATAGAATAGTGTAGTAAACAAGTTGAAACCAACCCATAACCAGCGTATCTTTCTCTGGAATACTTAAAGGCCTATTCATTACAAATAGTTGACAGCCAATCGCATAGTTTCGCACAGCTTAATTTTCATTAATATTAAAGCATACACATACACACAAATCTGTCTTAACTTTAATTTATTAAGTCCGTCCCTGACAAACGCCGCCATTTGCATTTATTTGTGTCAGACCATCGCGCAGATTTATATAGGATTATAGCTACTTGCAAATATTATATCTCGAATTTAATTAATTGCTCATAAAAATACGGAGAACTCCGCACTCCAGGAGGCCATATCAAATGTCGCAGTTGTAGATAAGGGACCTGCAAGTACTTCATCTAATCCTAAATCTAAAAATGCTACCGAAAGCGTAACATACGCTCAGGTTGCCAAACCCAATAGCAAAAAGTCTTCATCCGACAGTTCCACGGAATGGAAATCCGTTTCCAACAAAAGAAAAAGGAATAACCCTGTGATAGTGGGAAGTAATAAACAGGAGGTGACATGTGGCATCAAAGCAGTGCATCTGCATGTATATAAACTTGATCCCGCTACTTCAGTGAAGATGCTGCAAGATTTTCTGAAACCGACGTTTCCCGATGTAACTTGCGAAAAACTCGCCTCAAAGTACCCGAATTATTACTCCTCGTTTAAAGTAACAGTGCAGTTAACAAGCCTGGAGAAGATAATGGACCCTGTAATTTGGCCAACCGGTACCTGTATAAATCGGTTTTTTCATCGGAGTCCTCAACCGCCATTGACTCAATAACATCTCCTGAAGCCCAGAAAAATTTCTATATATTTCATATTAACACGCAAGATTATCCAATTAGAAGCTTTCTTCAGCGACAAACCAGTAGACCTTCTGTGTATAAGCGAGCACTGGTTGAAAGAGGAACAGCTACAGTCGCTCCGAATGAATGGGATGACAGTGGCCTCCTACTTCTGCCGATCCTCGTCAACCCACGGTGGAGTCCTTATCCTCAACCAACCAAATGTGCCAGTGAAACCTCTCAAGTATATCAACAACTTATCAACAGAAAACCACATGGAAATCTGTTGCGTACAGGTGAAATCCAAAACAGCAGTGATCTGTGTCTACAGACCGCCACAAGGTGACTTTAACATTTTTTACTCTACGTTAGAACTTATGCTCACCAAGCTAATTAATTTTAATATTGTTCTCTTGGGCGATTTTAACGTTCACTTTGGAGTAGACAAAAAATCCAAAAAATTGTGTCATTTTTTAGAAGCAAACGGATTTGCTCGAACGGTTTTTTCAGCGACTAGAGGAAAAAACTGCTTGGACAATATATTTATCAATTTTTCTTTAAGTTGCTACAATGTAGATACTATAACTACAGGGTTATCCGACCACTTAGGGCAACAACTTATTCTAGAGAACTTTATGACAACATTTAACAATGATCGTCATCAACCTAAATCCCACCGTCAAATTAATATTGAGGGAATGAATCGATTTTTTGAACGGATGAGCAATCTCAATTACGATCAAATTTTAAATGAGAATGATGACTGTGACACGATGTTTACAAGTTTTACTGAGAAAGTTCGCAGTATCTATCTGAAATCTTTTCCTTCTATGAGTGTCAATAAGACAAATAGTAAAAGTGCAAAGTGGTTCAATAATGATTTGCATAAGTTAAGAGAAAAGATTATTCTAATTAACGATTTGTACAACAAGTATGGCCTTCCAAATTTACGACAGATCAAAGTTTGCCTAAATGTAATTTATAAGAAGGAGATTAAATTAGCAAAAATTAAATGGAACGATAATGTAATAGCGAACTCAGGTAATCCTATTAAGTCGATGTGGACCATAGTCAATTCGCATAGGAACAGCAACAAAAAAGTAACCACTACATTAACTGCAAACGACTTTAACGTTTATTTTACTAACGTCATTAATGATCTACTAACAGTTCTTCCTTGCAGTAACTTTGACCCCATACGCTATTGCAAAGTGAACACTTGTAACACTCCAAGTTTCGAATTCAAATGTATTTCGGAAATCCAAGTGCGGGATGCAATTAAAACCATGAAGAGCAGCAGCTCGAAAGATATATTTGGCCTTACAACAAAATTAATTAAGTGTAATATTAATCTCTTTGTTCAGCCATTAACGAAATTAATTAATATTGTAATTAGAACAGGAATTTTCCCAAGCTGCTTAAAAATTGCCTTGGTCACTCCCATCCCTAAGGAAATGAACGATGCCAACGACGTTAGCAGTTATCGTCCAATCTCCATTTTACCCGTTTTTAGCAAAATAATAGAAAAAATACTCTACAAACAGATGGTTACTTTCCTTGAGGACCATTCTTTTCTTTACGCACAGCAGTTTGGCTTTAGAAAAAACAGAGGTACCTCCAACCAAGTGCTGCGTTTGTAAACGATACCCTGCATTGATTTGAAAAAGGAGGCCACTCAGTTGCGGCTTTTGTTGACTTATCTAAGGCGTTTGACTGTGTGTCCCACGATATCCTGGTTCACAAATTATCGGTGTACAATTTTGGTAAATCTAGTTCCGGCCTAATAGCTTCTTTTCTTATGGATAGATATCAACATGTGTCGTTTGACGGTATTATATCTAGAAAAATGCATATTAAACACGGTGTCCCACAAGGATCCATCCTGGGTCCGTTACTGTTTCTAATTTATGTCAATGACTTACCCATGTCGCTGCCTAAAGAAATCAACTGCATCCTTTATGCGGATGATGCTACTTTAACGTCATCTGACACAAATTATAATAACGTAATTTTCAATATTAATAAAAGCATTGAAATTATACCCAAATGGTGCATTGACAATAAATTGAAACTAAACGAATCCAAAACTGTGGTAATGCCGTTTTCTCTAAGGAACCTAAACGACGAAGTTTCCCCTAACCAGTTCTCCTTTTTAGGTTGTATAGTAGATACTCGTCTAAATTTTGAAAGCCATTGTGATAATGTTGCCAATAAACTTAACAAATCTATATATCTTTTAAGACATTTGTGCAACAGTGTTTCCTTAAAAGTTCTAAAAGCGGCATACTATTCTTTAATACAAAGTACTCTTACCTATGCGATCATAGCCTGGGGAAATAGTTCTCACTGGAAAGATGTATTCCGATTGCAACGTAAAGCAGTGCGTGTAGTAACAGGCCTCAAGTTTAGAGACGACTGTCGTCGTGCTTTTATTGCTTATAAAATATTGACTTTTCCTTCTCTCTATATTTTAGAAGCTTTGTGTTTAGCAATCGGAAATACATCATTTTGATACGAGGAAAAAGGATATGATTCGAGTTAAATACTGTCGTCTGTCCACAACACAACATGGTATTCTATATATGTCACAGTCATTATACAACTGTCTTCCAAATCATCTCACTTGTTTGTCACTTGCGCCCTTCAAGAAGAAAATCAAAAATTATCTCATTGAAAATGCTTTCTATTCTATTGATGAATTCGTCCGCGAGTGCAAATCTATTTAACAAACTTGTTTATGTTTTTGTGATTTCTTATCTGCGTAATGTAATGTCGTTTTATATGTACATGTATATTTTTATAGATCTATAATTTAAATTGGCATGTTTTTATATATTATATATATTTTTTTAATTAATTGTTGACGAGTGTAAGTGCACAGACACGTTCCACACAATAAAGATCTATCTATCTATTAATGTTAATTGAAAAGGATTTATCTTGTAGGCAATTATTGCAATAGTGGTTCCCACTGAATATAATTAAATCTTCGAAACCCCATTTCTACTCAATTGGTATCAACACCTTTTCTAACTGGAATCGATGAATTTTATTCAACGACTAAATTCCACTCCTTTTTAAAAAATTTACTTTCTTCCTTACTCTCCAATGAAAAGTTGGTTTATACGGAACGGGCACGTTACGCATATTAGTAATAACGAGGTGCTAACGTAAATTGGGCGTCATAAATACCCTTCGTCTACGAAGTTACAAAACGCACACGCATTCGTTATTTCTATTTTAAAATTACAGTTAAAGTTAAAGATCCTTACTTAACAAGTATCTATAAAGTGGATCACTTAAGTTGCTAATTGAAAAACAAGTTGCGGCGCTCAAAAATTTGTTTTCAAAAGACCGGCCCGTTTCCGTATGCCTAATATCATTCAATAAGTATGATTACTTATTCAATGCTAATATACATATCCAAAATTTGAACCAAATCCGTCGAGCTAAGAATGCAATATTATTGGTTTCTAGTCTTGTTTTGATTGAGAAGTCTAATCGAAAAAGTACGAATTGTTTTGGATTCTACGCATCTTCGTATTAATACGAAAAAGTGTTTTCCCGAGAAATTTTGGTGCAGTGGATTTTTGGTAAAAAAGGAAGGTTATACACTGCCTTTTTTTGCCCCGAAAAAAAAATTGTCCCAGATCGACCGGGAAAAAACATTTTCTTATAGAATGTAACTACACAGAATGCACTACAGGCCGTAGAATCCATAATTTCAAACAGTTCCAAGATTGGGCTACTAGTTTACAAGTTACAGCCTTTTGAATTTTCTTTCGAAATTGGTTTCTAGTCTATAGCTTTTGATTGAGAAGTCTAATCAAAAAAGTACGAATTGTTTTGGATTCTACGCACCAAAATTAATACGAAAAAGTGTTTTCCCGAGAAATTTTGGTGCAGTCGATTTTTGGTAAAAAAGGAAGGTTACACTGCCTTTTTTTGCCCGGAAAGAAAATTATTTTACTCACAAGTCACAACCCCACCACATTGTTTGGCATATGTCGCGGCCCAGTGCGATGGCAACAAAGTAGTAGTGAAACGCCCCTGATAGTGCCTATCAGGGACGCATACCCAAGACAGTTGACTAAATCCTGGGAGAGTCGGCGACACCACGCATATGTCAAAGTATCAAGTATCAAGTCTGGAATTACGAGATTTCTGAAAAATCAGCTTATAAAATATAATTTTCTAATCCATTTAGCAAGTACTACTCTGCCGAATTAATTTGAAGTATATTGTATAAACAAGTTATAAATCAGCATAATATGCATGAGGAAAGCGCATTTTTGGTAATACAGATCCGTATTTCATTAGTTTAAAATTATCAACTCAAAATAGACTAAAGCCTGCTCACCTACACTATAGCAGAAATCTTTTAGTGAAAAGTCTCTAGCTATTGTAATTGCTGAGATCTCAGCCGGACAGCCAGCCAGCCAGCCATAACGAATATAATAGCGTATTTTTTTTCAAAAATGCGCTAAAGTACCTAATTCGCACATTTTGTGTGTAGGTAATAAAAGAATATTCCATTTCGACCTGATCCGATTTGACTTGTAATTTCCCAATTAGGTAATTAGAATTCAGCAAGTCAGCAAAAACGTACACGAGTGTATGTTCAAACACATTTCATCATTAAGATTTAAGGATTACGAAGATTTTTTCAAGTACAAATAAACAGAATAATAAAAATTATGGTGTCTTCTTTCAGGAAATTTATAAAAATCCTACCTATCATAAAAATGCCCTACCTAAGGATGAGGGAAAGTTTATTATACAATGCGATTTAATTAATCTCTATTTGTAAAAAAAAAGTTGTAAATACTAATTATACTGGGTATGGTTTTTAACAAGGGCCGAAGGGCACATTTTTTGGGATTGTTTCATGTTAACTGCGTCCAGAAACTTCTGATGCTATTTCCCATGTTACGATTTACTTTATAAACTCCTATCTTTCGCCAAAGCAATTAAAATTCTTGAAAGGTATCTTTGGGAATGCCACTGGCTCAGGTATTTTAACTTTTTTAAAGAAATAAAGAAAATCAATCAAATATAAAACCGCGTGCAAGGATCCCCAAATTGGTTCTTTCAATGTGTTGGATAACGTAATAGTTCATTACATAAAAGTCAGGAAAATGACACATTGCTGACGAGGAAATATTGAAATACAAGGCCCCCGGGGGACCGAGTACTTTAATTTCCGAGTCAAGTAATGTCATTTTACTGATATTAAATTTTATCCGAAATCGTATTTTAATGTAAAATTTAACAGATGCACAAGCGGCAGCAAACGGTGGTCTGCTCTGCCTCTGTCATGGAAACTAAAATTTCCTGACAGAAAGTAGGCATGAAAATGAAGGTTTCATGAGGATTTTGAGTGAAAGTATTTAATTTAAGCTCTGAAGAATTTTGGTGGGTAATAGATGCTTTTGTGTGAGATTTAGGATTAGGGGTGATAGGAACCATAAAAATAAGTATGGATTAAATGCCTTAAGTTACAAAACTAATTCGCCAAAATATGTACTCGTAATTTTTTCAAAGCGGAGTCTTTTACAACATTGGTTTAGATTAAAAAATTTAAGGAAATAAGTCCCTACATATCGTCATACTTGTTGCTAGATCGACTATAAATACGCGTACACGGCAAACATAGAGCCAGTCAAAAGCAGGACAAAATGATCGCAGTGATTTTGATGGTATGGTAAAGTAAATAAATGTACGATTCTATTAATGTGTGTTCTATTGTTTTAGTTATTTATGTTGCAACTCGCAGTCACTCCGTAAGTAGTACCGATCTTATAAAGACCCCATTTATTTTATTTTGTTTTATTGCTTTCAGGTCAGAGAGTAAGTACTATAGAAAGGAGCATCAAATACCAAAAATGGTTCCTTAAATTTCATAATTGGCCGTTAAGTAACGAAAATAATGTTGTTAATGAATGTTTAATAATGTTTCAAATTGTATGAAAGTAATAGGTACAAAACTCGTCAGCAAAATGACACTACTTCACTCGGAAATGAAAGTGCGTATGGCCCCAAAGGGACCTCGTATTTCAGTATTTCCTCGCCAGTAATATGTCATTTTCCGGACTTTTAAGTAAATAACTATTACACGCATGAACCACCTGTTGTAATCAAACTATATGAATTACTCAAAGCGGAAATTAATAAACCCCATTGAAATTCTACGGCACACATATTATGACTTTATATTACGGTGCCCTAAATTTGGATTTCGTAGGTATCGAGTGTCAACGCTTAGAATGCCACGAGTCCATGAAATGTGAACATGGATTTCAAGTAGATGAAGCCGATTGTCCAATTTGTGCCTGTAGAGGTAAGTACTCACAAAAGAAGCATTCAAATATTTATTTGTTACTCAGTTGTAAACGTTGATTAACAAGACAAAACGCAAACGGGTAAACGTCATGTTTAAACGCTACTGACTTGTAAAACTGACAGCTGACCTGTAAAAATTTTACAAGTTAGTAATCTAGTAATTTCATTGGCCAGAATGAATGCGAAGTCTCTGTTACAGTTACATGGATAACATGATATTTTAGACATTTCTTAAAGATTAATTTAAGAACTAATTATTTACGTTTACTATTGTTTACAAATGAGTAACAAATAAAATATTGTACATTATACGCCAGGTAATAGTTTTTACTGGCTCTAGAAGATGACAGGCTCGCCTAACGGCTCGCCAGTCAACTTCTCCTATCGCCAGTAAAAACTCACTTACCTGGCTAATAATGTAAAATACTATAACAAGTTAAAAAGTAATCGTAAACGATTTACATAAAGCTCATTTCCACTTGCATTCATTTCCTATTTGTAAGATGCAACTTTTGTTAAAATTGTAAAAATCCGGCCACAAATTTGAAAGATAGCGTTGCACATGTGCAATCCATTTTTGACGTGCTACTTCAATTTCTGTTTATAAGAAGAGTTTCATTTCAATGCTCTTCTAAATAAGAAAGTTGGTACTGCGCATGCGCAAACCTAAATTTTGAAGCTAACGTTAGATTTTCCTTTGTTCCAAGTGGCTATGTATCGAATTTCAGTTAAATCCTTCCATAAATAAGAAAGTTGGCACTGCGCATGCGCAAAACCAAATTTTGAAACTGGCGTTAAATTTGCATTTATTCCGAGTGGCTGTGTAACAAATTTCAATTAAATACTTTTATAAATCAAAAAGTTTGCAATTCGGTTTATAAATGGTCGAGATGCGAAAAGGGCACTGTGAATTTTGAATCGATTCGACTCAGCTTTTGGCATTACGTATTATATGGCTAATGCTATGCCCATATTGAATTTCATGCAATTCAGTTCATAACTAACGGAGATGTAAAAGCGATCGGACATTTCTAAACAAAGTTATCGTTCACACGGACAGATAGAGGGACAGGCAGACAAAGGAACAGACGGACAGACCAACAGGCAGACGACAGACAGCAATGCAAAATTATAAACGATCTCTAGGATCGTTAATAAACGGCGAAAGTGTAAAATTATGGAACATTTAAAAAACGGTTTTTTGTTTTTTTTACAATAACTTTTTTTGTAAACGGTACAGAAAAAAATCCTTCCTTGGTGCAAGACTCGACACCATAACGAACCAAATAGCGAAAAAAGTAGAACAATAGCTCTTAGGATAAAAAACTAGTAGCGTCTCAAAACGAGCGGACGGACGGACGGACGGACGGACGAACAAAGTGGCCACAATAGCGCATTTTTTTTTATTTTTGTGGAAATGCGCCAAAAAGGGTTCCTTATACTTTCCTTAAATGAGATTTATGTAACTCTCATTTAACGAAAAATCAAACATCTGTAAGAAGTGTATGAAAATATTGTTACACGCATGAGAGACCTGCCGTATTCAAGGTGTACGAATTACTCAAAGCTTTTGCGGAAATAAATAAACCCCATTGAAATTCTACGGCAGCACTATAATCAATATTTCAATATTCTGACATTTTATGTAACGGTGCCTTAAAATTGGATTTTATAGGTTGCGATTGTCCACATTTAAACTGCAATTTGGGGATGGAATGTGAATTTGGACTTCAAGTAGATGAATTCGGTTGTCCTATTTGTGCCTGTAGAGGTAAGTACTCAAAAAAGAAGCATTCAAATATCAAAAAGGGTTCCTTCCTTTCATTAAATGAGAGTTATGAAACTCTGCACGTAATAATACATAACTTTTAATGTTAGGTAAAGGTTTTAGTTATAATGGTTTTTAGATCTGACACAAATCTGACAATTTGGGACACATTGGCGCGTTATACGTACCGGCCATATACCTTGGTTTAAGTTTAGCTATTAACGGTTTTTAGTCGTTTCAAAGTGCCTCATTTACATTTTATAGTTTATGCAGACTATTGTTAATCACATATATAAGATTAATGTTTAAATTACTTGAAAAAAGTTTAATATTTTATTAAATTTGACACGTTAATTTTGATTTTTAATTAATTGTAATCAATAAGTTACAACTTGGGACACCTTGTAAGTTGTTACTCGTAGGTACCATTTGCGTACTCATTTTCGCAGGCCTCTTCTGGTCGTGTTTTTGATAGTATATAAATTAATATATTACTCATTAGTTACTGTGCCTACTTCCAATAAGGGGAAAGCACGTACTGCAACGTTATTTTAGAATTACTCTCTCCTAACGAGAGCAATTTTTTGCGATTTTTCCCGTTGAAGTATGCGGAAGAAGTTTAAGTTGAAAAAGAGTCAAAGGTCTCAGGAACATTCAACCAAACTAATATTGCTCGTAATTTTGTCGATTGGAATACGGCGAGCTTTTTTCTTTTTCTCAGTCAATATAAATTGAATCTGGTGCCCCATTGTCAAGTTTTGGTGTTGAATTACAAGTTGGAAGAAATTCATATTAAGTTACCTATTCTACCCTGCGAATTAAGCACTCCTTGGGAAAAACAAGCTCCAGGGTCAGCATTTCTGTGGACAGTCCTGAAGGCAGGTAAACCAATGAAAATTAACAACATATCTCGGCCAATACTATTCCACCATTAAGTAGGTGTAAACAGGTTGAGCTAAAGCAATATGTGATTCAATTAGTGGCCTTTGAACTAAAATCGTATTAAAATTAGCGTTCGGAAATAACCGAGCTTATACAAACAGTTTGAAGTACCGTAGTGTCCATTTTTAATCAGTTCGTTTTTTGGAAGATCATCAATTTTGGAGTATTGTAAAATAGTGTAGGTATAGTTCCGCGACATTCAGCGTGCATAAATTGTGACGAATAGTTTTCAAAAAAAGTCCGAATCACAAAAGATTAATAAAGTGGTATAAAAATAAACGAAGAGATATTTACAATCGTGTCGATTCAGTTGGTAAATAACACAGTCCGTCTTAATAAACAAACGCGTTCATCAGCAAATCCATAACAACAACTTTACCACGTATTGGCAGTGTAATAAAGTTAAACGAAATTACAACAAAGAAAACTGTTAGTAAATCCAAATAATATTCAATTTCGCATTGGTATCGCTAAGAAAAAGTCAGTTAGTGTAAAACTTTACCTAAGAAATTTCCATCAATGTCAAATCAAGTTTTAATAAACCACCCAGTTAAATTGAGTGTATGCCATTGCCCTTTGCGGAACAAAATTGTACTGACCAACAGAAGAATCGGCATCCGAAGACAGTCTGTATTTCCGAATCAATCGTCAAAAAATCCAATCAAAGAGCAATTGCGTAGAAGTTATTCAAGTCGGCGGGTTTTAAGCACGCATTCCAGACCTTCCACAGCGAAGGAAAAATTGTAAATAAATAAGAGATCCTAAAGTTCTGATTTTTTATCAATATACAACAATTTTTCACTGCGGTGTTATTAATCTGCTGGATAGTACAAAGTCAAAAAACCCACTCGTAGCCAATTTTCAGATAAAGGACAAGAGATCTCTTGTGTAAACCAGGGGAGTAGAATAGGCTAATAGGGAACCGTAAGAGCTAGTCGGAGGCATTTTTTTTACCAATTTTTATAATACGTACAGCTTTTTGTTTCAATTTCCTATTTAATAGGAAGCAAAAGAAATTGTCGCCCGTTTATTTGCAGCGGAAGGACCGTGACACGTTTTATTACAATAAACCTTTTCGGTTGTATCTTTTTTTCCATGCTATTCAACAGATAAAAATAAAAATGAGAAAAATTCTTGACAGAGCACCTTCCAGGCTCAAACCAAAAAATTCGCGCTTGTGGAAGAGTGTATTCAAAAAATGGTAAGTTTAAGACAAAACAGTTTTCCATTAAAGTATATTATTCATTCAATAGAAAGTATCCACATGAACAAATTAAATTCCCTACGCTTGACCCTTAAGGGACCGTTAAGTGGCAATGTAGTAGCTGGCCCTGCGATTATGCGTCATATATACAGCATAATAAAGCATATTTATTATTATTGAATTCCATATGCAGTCCCAAAGTTTAGTGCAACTCACAAAATAAATTACCGCTCATCTCAATTCGTCTTGATTATGCAGGTGCAGTAAAACTACAAAAATCATCCCTTGAAACTGATATCTTCTAGGCTTTCTAGGCAAAAATGCGTGCTTCAAAAGTATCGTTCACAATAATATTTTATAAATAAACTTGTCAACCATTCACGCTATTATTTCATAATTTTTGGCCGAACGTGGTTACATTTACCTATTTCTAAAGTGAGAACCAAAATACAATTTCACAGAAACGATGCAAACGTAAAAATTATAAATTCAACTATTACAATCATTTACTGGAGCAGCAGGAAGTAAATGACAAGATGGTGGAATAGGGGTTGGAACAAGACCTAGTTATTCGTCTATTTATCGACTATGAACGTCGTGTTTTTCCTTGCTATTCAACAGAAACGTAATTACGCAATTTTACCATAGATCCTGTAGAAAAATATTTTATTTCGATACATGAGTAACTTCGCAATTAATTCGACTTCAGCAGGGTTTGGTAAAAAGGTACCTAGATTTAAGGAGCTGAAAACATGTTTCATTTACAAATAAACAAAATAATAAAAAGTATGATTTCTTCTTCCGGGAAAAACGAGTTAAAGAAGCTATAAAAATCCAAATTTATATCATAAACGTACCCCACCTAATGGTAAAAGAAAGCTTACTATATACAACGCGATTTAAGTAATGCATCCATGGCAGTAATACAATGCGTTACACTTGTACCCGTCAGTTAGAAACAACTTTTCATAATTCCAATTTTTGATTTGGTGCCCCGGTTCGAAGTTCGGCATTTTTTTGTTTTTCGAAAAATCGTTATCACCTCCTTATTTTAAGGACTATTGAAAAAAACAAACACTTTCAAAACTTTCAGCTCTCTAAATCATTTGCATTTGCAATTATTTTATCAAATAACGAAATGATGATCGCTCACTAATTTCAGAAGAAAATGTTTTGATAACCACCCCATCGATTTATCGTACCCAAACGCTACATCTATTCTGTATACTATGTTTTTTTCATTGTCTTACGTATAGGGTGGTTGTATAAAAAAACGTTAATAACTGGGGCACGACATGGGATGTGGTATCGTTATACTGTTCTAGTGAAGCTGCGAAATGTGGATGAAGTAAATAGATATGCCTGCTTTGTATGGGATTTAGGGATGATGGGAACCATAAAACTAACTAAGGATTAAGTGGTCACAATTTTTTTGAAGCGGAGTTTTTTTACAACACCGATTTAGATTAAGAAATCTAAAAAAATAAGTACACTAAGTACATATCGTCACACTTGTTGCTTGACTGACTATAAATACGGGTGCACGGCAAACATAGAGGCAGTCGCAGAGCAAAATGGTCGCAGTGATTTTGATGGTATGGTAACTGGTAAGGTAAACAATTGTCCATTTTATTAATGTATTTAATGGTTTTAGTTATTTATGTTGCAACTCGCGGTTACTTCGTAAGTGTTACAGATCTTAAATTGCCCATTTATTTTGTTTTATTGCTTTCAGGTCGGAGAGTAAGTACCATAGCAAAAAAGAGCATTCAAATTACCAAAAAGAATTCTTTACATAATTCTCATTTAACGAAAGATCAAACATGAGTAACAAGCGTGACAATTTTGTTTATAAAATCCGGTGCCAATCAGACGAATATTTTTACACGCATGAAAGACCTGCTGTAATGAAGGTACCTATATGAATAGTTGAAAGCATTTTGCGGAATTCAATTGAATCCCATTGAAACTGTACAGCAATCTATTGTAAGTATATAACGGTGCCCTAAAGTTGAATTTCATAGGTTACAGGTGTATACAATTAGAGTGCCTTTTATGGATGAAATGTGCATTTGGATTTGAAGTAGATAGATTCGGTTGTCCTATTTGTGCCTGTAGACTCCCATGCAGCAAAGCCGATTTGAGTTGCTGTCGAGGTCACTATTGCTTCGTATCGCCCAAAAATGACAGTATACCCGTCTGTAAGTAATTAACTAATGTTTTGCCTATCACTCATAACGATACCATTAGGTAAACCATATTGTCCACAGAGCCTCCCACTTTCGGGAGGAAATGGCTTGCCTGTACAGTGTGTAACAACTAAGTGTCCAGAAAGATTATTCTGTCACAATGTCACAGATCTGAACTCATCCGTCTGCTGTCACTATCAAGACTAGCAAAAGGTTTGGGTTATGATGATTTTTAGATTTTTTAATGTTCAAAGATTAGGTATCGTTCCAAAAATTACTCCAAAGACCTTTGGAACCGGCTGCATTACTCAATGTAATCAACTGATGGTTAAAAAATAAATTCCACCAGTTAGTACCTACTATTGAAACAAGCAGTCACTTTATAATTTGAATTCTGTACGTTTTCATTTAAGTACATACAGGCGCCAATGAACCGTATTAGCTTTCAATTTTTTTCATATATAGACGGAAAATTGGAAAAATAAAACCCGCATCTTTCAATAATCTGCGATGCCATGGAATTTTCTAAAACAAAAGATCTCTAGTTATCAATTAGCAGCAGTTCGAAATGGATTTTATGATCGACTTTGGTTACTACCTACCTTGCAGTTAATGGTGACTTATTCGAACATTTATTGTAAATTGTTATATTAGGAAACCGTTTTTAGTAATTTGGTCTTTCTTTATGTTGAATTCGCTGTTCTAAATATAATACTTTTTGATAGAATGTGATTTGTTTTATAGCAGACATTCCATGGCATGACGGATATTGGCGTAGTTTTTGTATTATAAAATTCCATGGCATCACGATGGGGGTTTTATTTTTCCAATTTTCCGTCTTTATTATGCAAAAAATTGAAAACTAATACGGTTGATTGACGTAAAAAATGTTTATCTACAAAAAACCTTAATACATTTTTGCTCTAATAGAATTTGGGGAGCCAATAATCGCATGTTATGAATTTTACATTGAAATCCCTATGATGCGTTACGCAAGTCACCACCCTGTATTTGGAATAATAAATAAGGGTTCTTTATATAATTGCCGCAATTGATTTGGTATAATAAAATGAAATCCAAAGGATTCTCCTACAATACACTTGACTTTCTCTGAATACTAATAACCGAAGCAAAGAAATTCGCTGGCGCTAACATCCCTCCTTAAATTCCCTCCCTGTCGCCTTTCTGTATCTAGGTGTTCACAACGACGGGATGGGTTTAAGTGGTATTATTAAAACCGGCAAGGAAAGTATCAACCTCACATTCTAAAGAACAAAAAGGCATTGCTGGACAGTAGAATTTGGAGATTTCACTCCGACTATTTGGATAAGTATAATTAACCGTAATTAGCTGAATGGCTTATAATAACCGCCGCCGATTAACTCGAGATTACATCCGTTGGGTGTGCTCTCAAAACTTAATTTTGACACCAATCCCGTATTTTTAAGACGTCTGGGAAGGATGTAATTAATTAAACATTTTGGAGAAATGACAATGCCAGAAGGGCCTCGCTTACTTGTCTCGATTACAAGTGCGATCATTAAACGTCCAATTCGCTCCAGAAGGAAGGGCAGACTACCATTACAACCGCGACAATCCATATTAAAAATGTAAAATATCAGCCAAGCTACAGAAAACAATACACGTCAAGCAAATCAAATGCAAATGGCGTACTTACGATGAAGCCAGAAGAATATATCGCAAATATTACTCCTTATACCGAAGTTAAAGGGGGAAATTCCATTTACACATTGATACGGCATCCCCAATTCAAAAATTTAATCGCCAAAGAATTAATACCAATACGTGGCGTTAATTAAAATTCAATGCGTTTTCGCTAATTACAACAGATACGAGGATCATTCAACAAAATATACGGGGAACACTAATAATGCTTCTAATGAAGAAAATAAACCGTTACAGCGCACATTAAACGTCAAGATTTTTCTTGGTTTAGGTGCAACAGCTATCAGCTACCAAATGCAAAAAGAACGAACTCAAGATCTTGAAAACTGTAGAACTAGTTAAGGCCTCGGACGGACGAACGGAGAAAGGGAGCATAATAGCCCCTTCCAACATGAGTTTTTTTTATATAACGTGGCCTTTTTGGAGGCTGTATTAATTACATACGTGAGGACAGTCGTTGCAAAATATTGGGCGAGACCGCACCGCCAAGTTTTAAGCACCTGGTTCTTTGAGGGGGATAAAAACGTCAAAGGATTTAAAATAAAAAATTAGAGTTCAGCAGTTCAATAACCATAGTAGAAAAGGGGAGTGGTTATACATCATTATGTTAGTACAAAATTCAATTGTGTAATTAATAACATATGAGAGGACTAACTCTAATCCAATCTCCAATCCAAAAGGCTAAATTTTACTTTTGAACAAGCTTGGAGTGTTAATTACCTATTATTTGCTTCTTGAATACTCAGCAGTAGATACTGTCATTTGAAGTATTATTGAAGCATCTCAAAATTTTATTTTTGCTTAATCATTTCCCTAAGCATTTGTAACGTAATCCGTTACACAGACTATGCAGGTATTTCCACAAAAACCCAAACAAATTTGTAAAAGTTGGTTTTTAATCCACAAAGGGTTTCCCTCAAAGGATATGATTAAATATTAAGTGTACTAATATTAATCTTCTGGGAAAATCATACCAAATATTTTTATAAATGATCTCATTTCCATTATGTACTTAATACTTTTTAATATGTTATTGTTTATAGGCTTTTCAATGGATACAGGTATTAGTAATTCCATAGTGATTTAGTAGATATAATTACACCCGTTTGGTAGTCGGATATTATACGACTATTAAAAAGTGATTAACATTGAAATAAGATTTCTGTGTTCTTGTAGGCCTTGAAAATTCACAGTTTCTGTATCATCCTCTTTATTATTTCATATTTTCAATATTTAGCTAATTAGTTTACATACGGTTTGCGTTCGTTTATAGAACTATGTTCTTCACCATAAAAATAAATATAAATTATTAGCAAACCCCCGAACTTCGTATGAAATAAGTTGGCACTCACAAAATCTTTTAGAACAAGTGATTACAATTTTTCTCAGGGCCCGTTCAGCATCCGCTATTAAAAAAGGACTAAAATAATTGACATGGATAGAACATAAACAATAATTGACGTCACAATCCAGGGTAATTTAATAAATGATCAAAAATATTACAAACAGGGCATTATAATATACAGTGTGTCCCAGATCGCGTGGGATTGCATGGGTAACTTTGTTATTATTTAAGATAGAGATTGGTTAAATGGGCAATGTTTTGCAGTTTTAGATGCTTATTTAAAATTTCCTTATGGAAGTTCAAATATGTATCATAGGTTCGACGTAAATTCAAAAAAACCAAAATTGGTCATTTCCTTAAATGTCTTATATCATTGAAAGTATAAGAGATATAAAAAAAGTTTTATATAAAAATTACTGTCTTTGATACGCTTAATTTAGAATTGATGTTAAGAAAAATTCAAGATGGCTACTTTTGAGGAACATTTACCAACTCCCTGAAGTTAAATAGACGCCATATTGGATTTTTAGATTACTTGATAGGGTTTTTCATTCTCTTTTCAACGAGCTATCAAAACATAAGGTTGAAAATAAGATACCAGTTATACCTATAAACGGTTTGTATATTTTAATCAAGTAGTCTGTGATGAATTAAAAAAAACAAAACAAACTATTCGGGGCAACAAAACAATGAAAATAATTAATTACATCAGATGTTTAAAAAATCAGGGGCGCACTCATGGGTGGGGAGTTGGTGCATTACAACTCCCTCTAAAATTTTATATAAGTAGGCTTAGAAAAACTTTGACTTTTATGGTATTACTATCGTATGGCTACCTACCATGACATTATCCATTTAAACACATTTCAAGACACTTCGCTTTAACACAATAAAATCTGATGTAATTATTTCGAATAGATTTTGTTTTGTTTTTAGCGCATTTTTGCAAAAAATTTTTTTTGTAAAAAGTAGCTTTTAATCTCACTTTGGCTGGCTGGCTGGCTGGCTGGCTGGCTGGCAGTAAATGCGCGCCCGTAGATAAATGCTTGTAAAAAGACAAGGAGTGTACATGTAACTATCGGGGCTGTGTAATTAAGAACGTTAGGGATGGGGCTACAAGATTTGGAGACGACGACATCTGGACGTCATCCCCGAGCGTATTATACTAACCTGGAGATTTTTCAGTTTTTATCTATCTTCTTCTACAGTTTTTCTCCGATTGTTTTCAAATTGGTGTCGTCGGGAAGATCTTGTCAACGCGCACAACTCCTGCGTGGCGGAAATTTGTTTTTTTTCCTAGGGGCGAAATAAACCACCTTTTGCGCGGCGCGCTTCGAGGGGTAGTCGACTTTGGGCGCCCAAAATACAGCGCGAATCGCGGTCTCTCTTTCTCGTGTCACTAATAGAAGGTCGAGCTATGTGAAGTACCCAAAAGTTGAATACGATTTTATGCCGGGATTTTAGCGAAATCTACAAAATGGGAATTACGAATGAACGGGACGTCGGAACTGTGTATCGACAAAGGGAATGTGGTAACCCCCGACGAGATCTTACTGATGGTGGAGTCGAAACTTCAAATCCGAATTGTTGCGGGTGATTAGAAGTGGGTGTCGACAAAGGGAATATGGTAACCCCCAAAGGATTTTACTGATGGTGGAGTCAAAACTTCAAACGCGAATTGCGAGTGCACGGTAAGTGAGAAAATGGTACCGACAAAGTGAACGTGGTAGCTTTCGGCAAGATCTTATTGATGGTGGAGTCAATATTGGCTAATAAAACACTGATCTGCCACACAAAAATGCGCTGAAGTCCCTTCGATCTCACACGAGGACTTTGATCATTTTTTTCAATTCAATTCCTCCCAGCCTACTTGATTAAAATATAAAAGCCGTTATGCTATGATAGCTCGTTGAAAAGAGAATTAAAAAATCTATTAAATAATCTAAAAATCCAATATGGTGCCTATTTAACTTTGGGAAGTTGGTAACACGTTGGAACCCAAGGAGCTATGATCAAATAATATCAAGAAAATGGAATAATTACAATTCGATTGCATCGAAAACCAGTATGTAATTAAATGTTAATCAAGGAGTCGACGAAAATAATCAAATTTACCTTTGAATTCTGGTCGTAGCGACCATCTGAATTGAGAAGGGTGCGTTCTGCAAATGTGTAACAGGCCAAAGCACAACAAATAAAAGGGGTAGTGAATCGCGCTTCATATAAAATATTGCGTATAAGCAATTCTAACGTCTGACACGGAGGCAATCGGATCTTAAAACTGTAATTGATACGAATCAATAATTAGAATGACTTTACACAAAAAGCAAAGTTCTAATCGACTACGGCTTATCCTTGCAACACAAATGCAGCTAGAATTAACTACTGCACGTTTACTCTCTATTTCGTAGTAAAATAAGATTAACTGGAATGGCGAGTTTCGAAAAATATGAACTAGCCTTTTTAAATAATCTAATTTTACTACAAAATGAGTACACAGTACACTTGCAGCAAATTAGTATATTATTATACAAGTTTAATAAGACGCTGTATTATCACACCAGTTGCCTATTCCATTTGCCAAGATTCACTCTGAATTGACTAAAACAACAACCTGTACTTATAAATACTTACTAGCTCCTATAATCAGTTTATAAACTTTAAATTATTATTCATTGCTCATAGCTCCTGCATTATATATTCTTTTTTTGCGGAGTTTATTATTCTTATTTTTTGTTCTTTTGTTTTTATATTATTAGGTTACCTTGAATGTTAAATTCATTTTTTTACCACCTGTACATTCGCCAATTAAAGGCCAATTCTCACAAAAGCGACGCATACCTAGCATATTGTCTTGTTGAGCAATAACTTATTATTTTTTAAGCAACATTATCAAGGGAACTCCCCTGATTTATGGTTTTCGGTGACGGTTGAACTTGAATCAACTTGAATGAACTGTACACGCTAGCTTTGTGTTTTAACAATGATAATAGTCGCCAAACAAAGATAGTGGGTAATATGTATATGCTTGGTGGAACTGGGTTTCCCAAGGTCTCTCAAAAACGTTTACATCATCTACACGTTCGTATCCATCTGGTAAAGTTTTTCTGGGCAAATGAACGCAGTAACGGGATTGATTGTAGTAAGTGCCTACTTAACCCTGACCTTAAACTTATGAATGAATGTTATTTCAGTGGCTGATCGCCAGTTTTGCAATTGGGTAAGATGGTACTTTTTTTAGGTTTTTGTTTGACGAAAATGTGTCGCGTTTCAGATCTGAGGCGCATGAAGTGTCCACCGAAGCTGGTACTAACGCCTAATTACACACGCTGAAGGTAATAATTGGTATAATTTTAGGTGTATGTAAGCGTGAAGTTTGTGAGGTGTATTGTCCATATGGAAACGTAATAGACTCGAACGGATGTCGAACGTGCGAATGCATTGCTAATCCCTGCACGAATCACACGTGTCCCAGTGGTCAGGAATGCAAAATAGTGCCTGTACTTTGCAAAAAGGCACCGTGTCCATTTACTGCCACTTGTAAGTACGTCGTTACCGTTCCGGATAAAACGCACTGCTTTTAGGTGGGCCAGAATGTCCGTTGTATAAATGCGTGGCGAAAGATTGCCCGTACGGATATGAGGTTGACGAAAATGGTTGTAAGGGATGTGATTGTAAGGATTACACCAAAGGGTGCCCATGCACAGAAGATCAAATTTGCATCGTTGAAAAGCTTTGCCCCTTTGGCGAGTGTGGGATAAAACCCAAGTGTATGTTGACATTAGTTTAATCGTATGGATGAACCTTCTTTTAGGCGTCAAGAAATGTCCACTCAGCTTACCCTGCCACTCACTTATGGATTGCCCATATGGATTTGAATTGGATCGTGACAACTGCCAAACTTGCGCCTGCAAAAATCCATGCGCGGGTGTTATCTGTCCAAGAGCAAAATATTGCGCGGTTATTGTTCTTAACTGCCTTGTCGCTCCATGTCCAGCCCCTTATCCGGAGTGTACGTTGTTGCCTCTTTTTGGATTTAGTTCGCCATAATGCTTTAACCGTAGGTCAATCTTATTGCCCTGAAAACAGCCAGCTCTTATCAAATCTTCGCAACGAACCGGTCACTTGTACAGCCGACTTGGAACCTTGTCCAAAAGGGTACGACTGTCACTATGTGGCTCGTTTACGGTCGTCTTTCTGTTGCAAATCAAGTGACGTAAATCAGGAGCAGGATAACTAACCTTTAAGCTGCCGTTTATTATGAAATAAAAAAGCAGAAATCAATGAAACCACTGGAACCTCTTGGTGCCACCTAAATTTAAAAAATAAAATAATTTTTAATTTCTGTAAATGTTGAAATATCAAAAATAAAGTGACTACCTGCATGGGTATGAACGGGGGCGAATATCATCAGAACTGCAGCTCCATCACGAAGAAGATCATATTGGTTGTTTTTGTGTCTCCAATGCCTGCACCTCGAAAAGGGTTTTGGAAGAGTAAATCCTAAGAGGACTCCTGTGCTTGCAAATTTCCAACAGGTCAAATTTTATTTTAACTCTCTTTTCACCAATGGTCGCCTAAGTAAATGCGTTGTTTAGTCCTCTGTTAGGTTTTTTTTTTGTTTGCGGGTTGTTGTCAATGAAGCTTTAAATTGATTGCGAAAAATCGAGCCATTTGAGGAATTAAGCGGGGCAGGGCAGCAGGGACGGACTGGGTAACTGTGGGCCAGGTGGAATTGCATAGGTTACAATCCACACGAGGTGCGTCGCCTATCATTGTATTTCAGCACTTTCATGCTACGACAAAAAATGATAAATTCATTGTAAAACACTTCAATTAAAACAGATTTTTTTAATTTTTTAACAACCTAACATCAACCCCAATTAGAGAAACGTGTTAATAATTTATTAATAGTGCAAGAAACTAAATACAGCACATACTTATAAATTTCCAACGGGCCATTATGATCTACAGGCCAAGTGGCAATCGCCACCCACCCCCCCGGGCCAGTGCGCCCCTGGTTATACACTGCCTTTTTTTGAGCCCCTCAGATCGACCCGGAAAAAAAAATTTCTTATAGAATGTGGCCTGTAGAATCCATAATTTCAAACAGTTCCAAGATTGGGCTACTAGTTCAAAAGTTACAGCCCTTTGAATTTTTTTTCGAAATTGGTTGCTAGTCTATAACTTTTGATTGAGAAGCCTGATCGAAAAAGTACGAATTGATTTGGATTCTACGCACCAAAATTAATAAGAAAAAGTGTCTTCCCGAGAAATTTTGGTGTAGTCGATTTTTGGTAAAAAAGGAAGGTTATACACTGCCTTTTTTTGAACCCCGAAATAAAAATTGTTTGAGATCGACCCGGAAAAAAATGTTCTTATAGAATGTGACCTGTAGAATCCATAATTTCAAACAGTTCCAAGATTGGGCTACTAGTTCAAAAGTTACAGCCCTTTGAATTTTTTTTTCGAAATTGGTTTCTAGTCTATAACTTTTGATTGAGAAGTCTGATCGAAAAAGTACGAATTGATTTGGATTATACGCGCCCAAATTAATAAGAAAAAGTGTTTTCCCGAGAAATTTTGGTGTAGTCGAATTTTGGTAAAAAAGGAAGGTTATACACAGGGGCGGACTGGGTACTTAAGGGCCATTAAGCCATTAAAGTATTAGTGTAGTAATGAAGGTGCCGGGGGGGTAGCTCTGAGGTGCACCACAAAAACATTTTAAAGTACTCCTTTCTCGAAAATCAATTACCATACAGTTTTTTTTTAAATTGCAGCTGATAATTAAAAGTAACAAAATATACAATCCACACGAGGTGCGTCGCCTATCATTGTATTTCAGCACTTTCATGCTACGACAAAAAATGATAAATTCATTGTAAAACACTTCAATTAAAACAGAATTTTTTAACAACCTAACATGAACCCCAATTAGAAAAACGTGTTAATAATTTATTAATAGTGCAAGAAATTAAATACAGCACATACTTATAAATTTCCAACGGGCCATTATGATCTACAGGCCAGGTGGCAATCGCCACCCGCTCCCCCGTGCCAGTCCGCCCCTGCAGGGCAGCAAACCGAAAATGGAATATTATTTGGCCACTAGGTATATTTTAAGTTTAGCTAGGAAATTAATTTAGAAGCACTGTAAGAATTTGTTTAATTTTACTTTGATCATAAAATGTGTTCCTGTATAGTTCCTTACAAAGGAAAGTAAAAGGATTGTTTCCAAGACACTCCAATATGGAAGTTGCGTAATCTCGCCAAACATGCTCTAGTATTTAAATTTCTAAACATTCTGTTAATAAGTTTAAATTAGCATTTTTCAAAATTTTGATTACGAAATGTTGGTTATTAATGAGATTTTCAGTGAAGAAAAAATCTATTGAAGTCTTTCCTTTTCTTAACCCCTTATTATCTGAGCAAAGAATACTTAATAAGTACTCTTTGATCTGAGCTAGCCTAGCTGTTACAAGACAAGTAACATCCAATCTCTTAATCTACCCCGCATTTACCCTCCACAACTATAATAAAACGATAACCACCCACACCCCTAAATTACTAACTTTGCATTAAACGATATTAACTTTTACGGTGCGCGGTTTCCAATTAAAATTCCTACCCAACCACTAATTTACCCACTCTTCCTTAAAAGAATATTAACTTTTACTTTGCGCGGTTTCTACTTAAAATCAATTATTGATATTGAGAGACAAAATTTAAACAAAAACCACATACTACCTCTTAATCTTCCCTTCCTATACCTGAATCCTCGACAAATTAAAGGCACACTAAATAGGCTGTGCTTCCGCAAACTGAAAAAAACCACAAATTAGATTGCTTATGCGCAGAGCCAACCTTCTTGGTTCCAAGCGAATTTTTTCGAAATTTTAAAAAAGGTACTCTTTAAATAACGGTTTTGTCACCATTTTAGTTAAATGGGTGAAAATTAATTACTATTAACTAGTGTAACAATTTTCTTTTAAAGACTGTAGAATGTGGAAATGCGCTTTTTGTAAATCGTTTTCGATTACTTTTGTAACTTGTTGATATGGGGGAACAAAATATAACGATAGCGACATACAATCCCTTAATTTTCCGTACCCCAACTTTCAAATTTTCCGACCATGCATTTAAAGAACATTTTTTGACAGTGAGAGACACATACAATTCCTTAATCTACCTTGTCTTTACCCTCGCTAACGATCACAAAACGATATCCAGCCCAACCCCTAATTTATCGTCTCTTCCTTTAATAGTTATTTATTGTACAAGACGATAAAGGAATTTTTTTAACCATCGAGTAAATTATCTTTCACAAGATGGTTAGTTTCCCTTTATTATCGTGTATAATGCATTTATTTTATAGCAGAAGGGGAAGGCATACAAATCATTATAAAACTTCTGAAAATTCCGAATTTAATTTAGACGTCAAAATGTAGGCTCTCCCGTCGTTTCAATGGAAACAATATTGCATTCTGTTCTAAACTTCGTTTTATGTTGTGCTCCGCGTCCCATTTCTAATAAGAATGACAGTAGAGGCCAGTTTGGATTTAAATTTTGTGAAATTTCGTTGCAAATGTGTTTTGAAATATTATTGGGAATTGTAGGGTGTAGTAATTCAGATAGTTAATTAGGCCAATAAAAGTCATATTTGGTGGAATTACACTAATGAAATTTTAAACCGTGTTGGAAATGAAGTCCGTATTTTGCATATTATTCAAGTTTCAATGCCTCTCTTGCCCTCGCATAATGACTTCAGGTTCAGGATATTATGGCGTCGCGATAGCGCAAGTGGATTTCTTTTTTTAATAACCATATAAAGTTACCATCATAGGTACAAATAAATCTCGAAGCGTGTAAATGCTGAGTAAATGTTTTTTTTTAAATTGTGTGGTGTTGGAAAACGTTCGGGATTGTTTGAAAAGAATTCACTAACCTATAGGGAATTTAGATATCGCCATTTTAAATTAATTCGCCATTTTGGATGTTGCAAATGGAAGGACAGTCAAACTACGTGCCTAGAAAAAGTTGACTTAAAAAATTAGCGCTGTTGTTGCGGGCAAAAAAGTAATAGTTCCGGTGTTTCTCCAAGTTCATCGAAAAGGAAAGTTTTTAAAATACTGTAACGTAAATTTAATTACGTCGTTTATTTGTTACAATATATATTTAACAATAAATTTATTGGTCTTGAAATGAATTAATTTATAACAGTAAACTATTATTTATAACTTACAATGTATAACAACGTAAAACAAGCGCATAGAAATAAGAACAGAACTCGGAACACGATTCGATTTGCTTTTATAGTAGACGCCAGGGCCGGATTTGAATATTTTGCGCCTATGGGCCCCTAGAAATCTAATTAGTAGGTAGTATATATAAATCCACCTTAATTAAGCGTTTTCAACTAAAAAATTTGCGGGAGAAGCCTTAAATTTTCCGTTCACATAGTTTTGTCGAAATGTGAGGTTATGTTACTCCGTATTTCATGATTACTTTTAAGTTGGTAAGAGTCGAAACACATGAAATTGGAATAAATTTATAAAGAAAGTAGATTAGCCAAACGTTCATTAGAAAATATTATCCAATTTCATGTGTCCACTCTGTTGAGGTGTATAATAAATATTTTTACCCAAAATCGTCCTGAAACCTTTATTTTCATGCCTACTTTCTGTCAGGAAATTTTAGTTTCCATGACAGAGGCAGAGCAGACTGCGTTTCCTGCCGCTTGTCATTTTACTGGCCGCACGCCCGCACCTGTCACTTTGCCGGCCGCATTTGTGACATTTCTAATGTCTATAATGACTCCTGTCATCACTGACAGATTGACGTTAATCAAAAGTTGTATATAAAAATTGTATATAATAAAATACGATTTTGGGTAAAATTTAATACAAAACTCGTCAGTAAAATGACATTACTTGAGTAATGTGTCATTTTTATGTAAATAACTATTCTGTAAAAATTAATATCATGGTGTATTTTGTTGTGATTGAATTATAAAGTAGGTAAATTAAAAATATTTCATTCAAAATATCTTGGCCAAGTTTCTTTTGCAATTTAATTAGTTAGTATTTCCTAAGGAAAGTTGTAATGAAAAGGTAAATTTTTAATCAATATATACAAAATGTTACGATAGTTTGTTTGACAAGCAAATTGCTATACGATACAAAATTCAAATTTTCAGGAAAAAGGGAAAGTTCTACGTAGCTAAGGGAGTTCAAAACCATTACCTACATGAAATAAGAACAACATAATTTACCGACTTTTCCTATAAGAATATTAAATTTGAAATCCATTTTTTATGCTGAGAGACACAATTTAGACAAAAACCAAATACGACCCTTTACTCTACCCTACCTTACCATTGTACAACGATCATAAAGCCTAAAATCTACCCCAACATTGTTTGCTCATTTTTGTTTAAAAGTAGGTATACTTTATATTTAAATCTGTGCTATTACGGCTGGATAACTTCATACAAATATGCAAATTTATTGTTAGAATATCTACTACTGCTAAATTCATGCGAGTGTTCTAAGCAGATTCCACTAAGATTTTAAAAAAGAACATTCTGAGAAAATGCTGAAGATCTGAAGGTTACATAATTTTGCAAGAGAATTCTGAGAATCTTCCAAGAGGATTCCTATTACATTTTGTATTTATGTCGAAGAAGGTTTTTAACATTTTACATTTTGAAGATTTAAAAGTATAATATAATATTCTGAAACGACGACAATTAATAACGTTTTTATGATGAAAAGTATACACGTAGCGAAGACTTTTTATTCACTGGGTTCCAAGATGGCGGTGCCAAACTTCTTGCTTGTGGCACAAATGAGTACCAAGGTATGGAAAAAAAGTCTGTAGGTATATTTCGAGTGGTGACTTAAACCCCAACCCATGTATGAATTCACTCATTTCTATGCAAACTGCTTATAACCCATGAGTTCACTGTTCAGAAAGGTACCTATAGTTTAAGGCTTGAAATTTGTAGGAAGCGAACTGTCTTTAGCTTATAGTTATAGGTTGATTGAGGTTCAAGGAGGCAATGTGCAAACTTTTAGCTTTGGGCGAATTTTTTCCACGCGTGAAAACCTAATTTCCCTGGGCTTTTCGTAAATATGTGTTACGCAATGAAAGACCAAACAACCAATATATTAGATGTTTAATAATAAATGACTTTTGAGCTTCATTTTGTGTGAATGATCAAATGTCAACAAGCCACTTTCAAGATTTCGCTATTTCCATACCTATTTTGATGTCTGCATGTTTATATTATTTATAGAAGTTTACCAATAAATTGTCTAGGTGGGTGACCTTCGTTTCAACGTAGTATTTTTATGGGGCTTGCCCCGTGTCCAACACGCAATTGGTTTGTTACAGATAACCAGTTTGTGCATCATTGTGGTCATTAATTTTGACCGTATCCTCGGAGGTAATCCACGCGTAAGCTGCAAATCATCAATGAAAAATTGAAAAACCCATTTATTTTTGGTGTTAGTTTTGGTTTCTGTTTGTGCAGAAGTGTCAAAAACCAATACAAAGGATATTATGAATGGGTAAATTCCTCCTTGGGTAATATTAGGTATACTACGATTGCGGTGCACATCGGAAATTAAATAATCACTGAAGTTTCCTTTACCAGAAAATTGTGAAAATGCGATAAGGCTTCGCCTTACTCAGCATAATCTCATTATTTTTGAAAAAAACTGATCTGGCCCAGTGTGAAAATTCAAATTTTACTTCCCGTTCTAAATTACTCTTTTGGGTCTTCCGATTGCTACCGCTTCCTCGCAATAATTACATCCTAAACACACGTTTAGATCAAGAAATACAAATTTCCCAACCACATAATTACCATACCGATTTTCTTGATTATAAATTCTTTGTATAAATTCTGTAAAGAAATTCCTAAAATAAAAAAGTATTAGCGTGTTGGAAAAGACATGAATCATTTATTGTTGTTTACCTCGACTATATAAAAGCACCTTAACTAAACCAAATGCAGTCAGACGCTTTGTAACGCTTCGAAATGAATCAAGTTGTGGTGAGTGCCCTTTAAATTGTTGAGCGTGGCAATTACTAACTAAAGTTTTCTTCTTTTACAGTTACTTTTGTTGGTAACATCAGTTGTTACGACGACGTTATGTGCGCACATACCTGTCAAAGGTGGTGGCCGGCTTCAGGCTAAGGACATTAAAAGTAATTATAATTGTACAATTCTTGGCATATTCTTAATGCATGTCTTTTACAGATGAAGATACCACGCAAAATAAGTCTGGTTTAGGCAGTTTCGAATCGAGATTAAAAGACCAAGAAACCACGCGTTCAGAAGAACGGGCCCATCGAGATGCTACCATTAGCGCTGAGGGTAAAAGCGAGCGCGAAGTTAAAGAAGAGAGCCAGCTCTCCACCAACACCCACGAGGAAAATCATCATTCGAAAACTTTAAACGGCGAAAAACAGGTATACAAGAAAACAACTGAGAATCAAACTCAAAATAAAGTATCGGTACGCGAGCAGACATCTAGCGAAGGAGACGCCAGCTTAACATCCCCTAAACAAATTGCACTGGAGGATGACCGCAAGGTTCATTCCACCGAAGGTGTGCACACGCATACAATTTTAGACGATAAAATTAATGATAAAAAAGTTAATCTGGAAGAAACGAGGCACGTGGTCCACGACTCCCAAGCCCACCACTCCTACCCCGACAAGATCCACCACAACGAGCAGAAAACCGTCATCATGCAAGATGTAATCGATCACGAACAAAATTCCCAGCGTCATCATCAACTAAACATAAATGTCCACGGAAGCGGTAACCAACAAGGGAACCAGAAGAGCGACGTCCCCCTAATCCCATCATTTGGTGATAACTTTGAAGATGCTCCAGTCGTACCTTTGTTGCCCAAACAGGAAGGCGCGTTGAAAATTGATAATGTTGGCGAAGAAAAGTTGGACGGAAGTGCGTTCGAAGGTACCACTGGCCAGTTGGGCGATGATAAGGTCGCAAAGAGCGAAGGAAAACACCACGATTTACCAAAGCACCATGCACACCATGAACGCCATTGGGATCACGACTATGACTATGACAGACATCCAATTGATCACCATCACCACCACGAAGGGCCAATTCATAAGCACGTTCCTACACCCGCTCCGAAAATCGAAGAGAAAAAGGAAGTAATTAAAACTGACGACACTCGTGTAATTCAAGAGGAATCTGGCAAAAAGGACGAAACTGTTTTACAAGTAGAAACTAATACCGGAAGCGCGAAAAGAGAGGAAGAACAAAAAGAAGTAAAAGTAGAGGTTGCTAATGTGGAAAAAGAGGAAAAGTCGACGGAAGGAAGTTCCGTAATTTCGAAGGATGTCACAACGCACCACGTTCACGAGCACCATCCCCACCACGGACACGATTGCCACGAAGAGAAACATGACCATCACCACGGACCCACCACGACAAAACCAATCACCGTTAAAGACGAAGAGGGGGCTAAAATTGATGTTACCGATGTAAGAATAGACAGCGGTTCGGATCTGTCGTCCTTTGATTCTAAAAGAGAAGAGGAAACAAAGGTTGTAACAGCAGAAGATAAATCGTCGGCTGGAAGTACAGGAGTCGCGGCGGAGCTCCCCAAAAAACCCGTTCATCACCCGGTGAAAGGTGGACATCCTCACCACCACTGGCACCATCACGAGCACGACTACGATGACGATGACGACAGTCATGAATACCACCATCACGAAAAGTTTCACCATCGACCCTCCTACGATCACCACGACGGCCACCATCACGATTACAGTCACGGATCTCCGTATCACGGTTATTGGACTGACTATTAGATGTAAGAAAAACTCGAACTGTTAGCATATTACTCGCCTAGTAAATTAATCAATAGCTTTTTATCCTATGCTTTATTTTGTTTTCTATACCTACTCTTGAGTGTAGTTTTCAGTCTGTACGCGTGGTGTTGGCTCATAGTGATATTTCCTCAACAAAAGAATCAATGAACAATTTCACTGGTGTGCGGTAAATTCGCCCCCGGAATATTCGCCCCCAACAAATTCTCCTCCGAAAAATTCGCCCCGACAAATTCGCCCTTAGAATATTCGCCCCCGTAGGATTCGCCCCATAACATTTATTAACCCCCGGAAGTAATAGGTTGGTTTGGTAACATATTAAACAAATAACAATTAAACAAAATTCATTTTATGAACTGCTGGCCCTGTTACCTCCGAGGATTAATAAATCTTATGGGGCGAATCTTACGGGAGCGGAATCGCCGGGGGCGAATCTTCCAGGAGCGAATTTTCCGGGGCGAATGTTTCTGGGGCGAATCTAAAGGAGGCGAATAGTCCAGGGGCGAATTTACTTGGGGGCGAATATTCCGGGGGTGAAGTTTCAGGGGCGAATTTTCGGGGGCGAATCATCCTACAATCATTTCATTATGTAGCTACTTCTGCAGTCAAAACCTTTAGGTTAGGCAACGAAACATACAACAATTTTTCCGAGTTCAACAACAGACTAAACAACTCGGTTTATTGCAAAATTGTAACCATTGAAGTAGCTTACGTAGAAATTACTTTACCTTTACGATAAACATTTCTAATGGTTGAGTTTCGAAAAAACCTACAGCGATAGTGTAAATAAATGTACCGGGTGATCAAAAACTAGTGCGGACAATTTGAATTTTCCGTAAAACTAAACATTTATAACGTTGATAACATACCAAATGTCATTTATGTAAAAGCAGTGGTGGATCAATTTAATCACTAATACATAAATAAACTACCTTCTAAACATGTTTGCCAATTCCTTAAGTAAAAAATATTAAAAACTTAAAGCCCCCAATTTAAACTGTCTGCAGTTCTTTTTGATCACCCGATATATGGGACATACAAACAAAATGGTACCTCAGCTGCTGTGTTCGCCCACAAACGATAGTTTATTTCTTCTGAAAGGTAACTTATGGTAGCTCTTTATGTACGAAAACGTAGTATTTGTTGTAATGAGTTAATTTCTAAATTGTTGTTGGTCTATCTATGTCTCATTCGTGTTTTATCTGTTGTTATTTTATATATACTACATGTATATTTGTACTGACTTGCCTCATCTATTGTTAAATAGCTAAAAAGGTTAAAATATATTATTATTATTATTCCTCGTTTGAATTTTTTCGAATGGAGCATGGAGCTACAAGAAACCAAAAATTGCACGAAGTCTAGCATATACAAATGACTTCGCACATGGAAATAAAGGGAAAGGCATTGTGCTCACATTCCTACAAAAGGGTAAAAGGTACACGGATGTGTTCAATGCCGGTAGCTTCGTTTTAGTCCAATTATAAATCATAATCCTGATTTTACCCATAATATTATTATAACAATGGCCATATGAATTATATTGTATAAGTACACGTCAATCGAATTTCAATAATTTTGCAAATGGCTAACTATGGATTACCTAATGTTGCTAATTAAAACGTAATTATTATTGTATATTTAAAATTTTTTTGATTTTAATTTGGCATATTATTTATTTATAATGATGCCCTATTACTTGTTGAATTCAGTACCTTCTAGTACCCCGCACCAAATATGATCCTCTGGAGGTTCATCGCGATATCCATACACTTTAAGCATCTCCAAAAAGGTCGAAATAAATCCTAAGGGATCATATAGGTATGGGACGATTAGGGTGCCTTTTGTACAAACTGAATTGGAATATATATCTACATATTAATAACGAGCTACAAAAGCTAGTTCATGATTTTGGATTTTCTGTTCGTCCGTCCGTCCGTCTGGGTACATGATAATTCACGAACGGTTTCGAATTTTCCCATTCTATTTTCAGTAATAGGTCGACAATGGTCAAATGACTAACTGATTAAATTTTGGTCAATACTCGTCGACCGGAACTGACTAACGATTGCCCTGCCGCTAGTTCAACTTCGAAGTAACATAACGACCAAACGAACTTTTATTGCTCTAGAATATGTAACGGTAGCTTTATATTTTGACTTAATTTTTTTTTCGAAAGTTCGTTGTGAAGTTGGAAGTTTGGAGGCAGTAGCGGTCCCAGGGGGGGGGGGCGTGCCCCCATTGTTCATTTTTTTCATCAGTGTTGGGACAAAGTTCGGGTTTGGGCCCCTCCCTTTACCAAATCCTGGGACCGCTACTGTTTGGAGGTAATGAGGTATGGTGTAAAGGAAGAGCGTTTCTCGAAACTTAAGTTAACAAAAGCGGATTAAACAGTCTCGCAAAAATGAACCTCTCTAGATATCAATCATGTGATGTATAGTAACCAAAATTTAGTACAGGATGTTTCAAATCAAATTGCTTGTTTTCGATATTTTGAGGAAACCTTGGTGCTGGTATCTTAAAAACTAAGCAGGCTATGGAAAATACGAAAATACCCCTTTACTAAGGAAGTTACATAACGTTGATTATTATATTTTTTTGATATTCTCACAAATAACTAAGTTATAAATTAAGGAAAAACGATATCATCTTTTTAGTGACCACTCCGTCATCGCCACTATCCAGGAGCCTGTTGGCTTTAAATAAGAAGTGCCGTGAGCCCGTGAGAGAGACATCGATGTATTTCACGGCTCTTTGAATGAATTAATTAGTCATATAAGATCGTAATTACTATCTAGTTTTAGTTTTAAGTACAGCATCCCAGTGCCATGTAATTGGAATAATTATTGTATTCTGTATGGTATCTGGCTAAACAAATAAATAAATAAATAAATTATAAAGGAAACATTTTTTATTGCATTTTTGGACCTTTACGCTGTTGCGCAAGTCATGGGCGTAGCCAAGGGGGGGTTTTCGGGGTTCAACCCCCCCCCCCCCGAAATGTTCAAAACATTAATTACAGTAATGTTATATTCATACATTAATAAGAAAAGAGGAGCGCAATACAGTTGCAGTTTCTGTGCTTTATTTTTATTCACATACCTACTTACATATTGACGTTATTTTATGCACTCTTTGTCGTTTTATTTACTTGAACCCCCTCCGAATCTAAAACCTGGCTACGCCCATGCCGCAAGTCATATGTCAAACTTGTTGTCAAGTAACAAGTGCGAACCGCATCACTCTATCTCTTTTAGTTCTCAAAATATCGCCGAAATCATCGAAAACAAGCAATTTGGAACACGAACACCCTGTACATATATGTTTCCATTGTATTTCCCAATGTATTAATTTGGTGGGGAATGGGTGAAAGGGGGGGGGGGGTATGAGGGCGCAGTTTTGGTTGGCCGCCCCGGGCACCAGTGTTACATTACAAGTTTTTTTATGTTGTTGAGAATTCTGTCATTCCCAAAAGCTCCCTCTTATTAGTCATTCCCCCTTTTTTGTATTGACTCAAATTTCTCCAAATTTCTATACAAAATAAGTACCTACCTTATACCTAGCTCTATTTCATTGCAAATTTTTTATTTTCTAAAAATTTCGAACCATTCTTTCCTAAATTTCGTCGTATTCCTTACAAACTTCCACAAAATTCCTACTTCGTCCCGTAGTAATTCCTCGTCTCCCTAGCTTCGTCTAATTACATTATTTCAATGACATAAAATTTGTTCAATTTGTACAAAATAAATGCCACGAATTTCTTCTAATTTTACCCAAACTTCATTTTTTTAAAATTTTCATTTTCATCCCCAAAAGGTCCTACCTTATTTCTTGCGATTTTGATCATATTTCGTCCAAATTTCCACAGGGATTGGGGTCCTTAAAATTTGACCCCAAAACTTCTAGCATTACAATACATTTTCTCATTTTTTATGCGAAACTACCATCTCCTTAAAAACAATTTTTATATTTCCTCCTTCGTCATAATTGTCTCGGGTAGAGTTTCCAAAAATGGTTTACATTTCCCGATCTTTCCTTTTGTTTTCCCCAAAATTTCACATTTTTCCCAAAATTTGGAGCATTAGCTACATCAAATTGGCCCATTTATTCACAATTCAGATCAGATTAGGTTTTCTCCAAAGATCTCTCATATTAACCTAAATTTCCCATAGGCACTTGGTACCTACACGAAAGATTTCCGTGAAGTATGCCTTCTTTTGTCAAAACTTCTCCACAAAACCATCTTCCTAAATGTACTCCAAAGTGATGTACTTATTCCAAAGTCCTTCTTTGAAAATTGAAAAATTTCATCAAATGTCGAAGTTTTAGACACATAGTTTTGAGCAACTTCCAAAGAATACATTTTTTTCCGTCTGTACGTATGTAGGTACGTACCTACGTTGGGAATTTTTTGAATCATTAGGCATATTGAAACGAAGAATAACAGGCAGGATTTTTGCAAAAAACCTTTTTTTAAAATAATTTTTATTAAATTATTTGCAATATCTTAATTTTCTATGTAGGTACAATCTTAAATTGTGGCAGAGGTTTTATTACGAAAAAAATGTCAAAGTAAAAATACTGAATTGTATGTACGAGTACTTTTCAGCCCATGGAGCAATTACGAGAGAAAACTTGATTTTGATTTCGTTCAATTTTTTAAAAAGTACATTAGGCATAAAGGATGTAAGGCACTGCCAAACATGTTTTTAAAAATAGTTTTTAGCGCCGTGACGTTGTAAAACTTTTTTTTCAAATAGTAAACCCGCATTTTTTATTAAAAGAGCGGAGTTTTCGAGTGGTTATCCATCCAGATACTAACCAGTAGCAACGTTGCTTGAGTTTAAATAATAAATGAATTAATAGTAATAAGCATTAGTAGTAAACACAAGCAAATGTAAAAAAAAGCGCTGTTGCTGCTGTTCTGTAGAAATTTGGCACCTGGTTTTACCTTACTGCAAAAAAGTGTTTAAATCGATTTCGTTTAATTTGAAAGTCATATCGATCTCAAATATCGATTTTGTTTAAAATTGGCCTCCTTACTATGCAA